ATGCCCCCGCCACCACCCAAGGCCTAGGGTTTAGGGTTTAGGGTTTAGGGTTTGGGGTTTGGGGTTTGGGGTTTGGGGTTTGGGGTTTGTCTCGCACAAAGGGTTGGGGGTTGAGTTTTCACGGTCTGGGGCTTTGGGGCTGGGTTGGTTGGGGTCGGGTTCGGGATTTACTAAGGGTGGGTCGTCTTCATCGAGCTGCAGAGGCCCGCCCACGACAAGATATGTTTTTTTGGACTATACTGTTACGTAAATTACTGTATGTGTCTATATATATATATATATGTATATGTGACATATATAAATACATAAATAGATAAGTAAAAAAAATATATATATATATATATATATATATATGTATATATATATATGGACAAGTTGTACAAGGCTCCGAGTAGGCACCCCAAAGCAGACCATCATTTAGAGAGCCACCAAGCCGCGGTGCTCCTCCGGCCTCCGCTCCGCGATCTGGGGAGTCGGCCGCGCCGAGCAAAGGGAGTGGAGTCGCCGAACGCTTAGCCGAACGGTTTAGGGTTTAGGGTTTAGGGTTTAGGGTTTAGGGTGTAGGAGGGGTTCGGGCTTGGGGTAATTTCGGGTTTCGGGTTTACGCGTGAGGGTTTAGGGCTTAGGGCAGTTTAGGGCTGTAGGCTTTGAACCTTCGATTCAACCTTCAGCCTCAAGCCCGAAACCCTCAACCCCAAAGCCCTGAAGCCCTGAAGCCGTAGTGCCCCCCCTACCTCCCGTGCGCTTGAAGGCGCCCGTCGCTCGCCATCGCAAGCGGGAGGGCATCGTGTGGCCCGGCTGCTAAGGGTAGTTTCACGAGCCCTTATTGTGGCCCCATACCTCCCTTACAGGGATCTGATGTAAAAGCCCTCAATGTGTATAGGCAAGAAAGGGGGCCCCCTTTACAGGGCCCGTATTAGGAAGCGCTATGCAGGCTATTCCGCGAAAAATCTACGCCTAAATAGTCAGTCCCTGCCAATTTCCTAATCCCCCAAACCCTAAACCCTCAACCCCAAGCCCGAAACCCTAAACCCTAAACCCTAAACTCTGAACCCTAAAAACCTAAACCCTAAGCCCTAAAACCCTAGACCCTGGACCCTAAACCCTAAACTCTAAACCCCAAACCCTAAACCCTAAACCCTACACCCTGCAAGACAAGAAGGTCCCCTCTCAGGCCCCAAGCCCTTTCCCTTAGGGTAGCTGCATGGTCCTTGAATCTCGGGCCCTACTCCTTTTCTGAGGAGGGGTCTAGCATTTGGGTTGCCCTAAACCCTAAACCCTAAACCCTAAACCCTAAACCCCAAACCCTAAACCCAAAACCCTAAACCTTAACTCCCAAACCCTAAACCCTAAACTAAGTGAGGGGTCGCTTCCGTCGAGCGACAGACCCCGAACGCTCGGCCGAGGGCCTTACAGCCCGAGCGCCCAAGCAGAAACGGAAAGGTGAGGGTTAAGCCTCACCGTCTGTCCTGGACAGGCCAACGGACATCGGCCTTTTTTACGACAACGTCAGTACTCGGCTAAGGGATCTGGGTGCCACCTTTAGCGTAGCTAAAGTATAACCCCAAATCGTAACCCTTTGCCTCTGAAAAAAAGGTTCATTTTGGGTTCAGGGTTTGCCGGCCCCCCCTGCCCCGGGCCCCCCTGGCCCCTGGTGGCTGGACCAGGAGGCTGGCGAGGGGGTCCAGGCAGGCTGGTTGCTCAATCGGCCCCCCCCCCTTTCTGGCCAAAAGCCCCGGCCCAAGGGCCCCCCGGCCAAGGGCCCCCCGGGCCAAGGGCGCCCCGGGCCAAGGGCCCCCCGGGCCAAGGGGCCCTCCGTGCCAACGAAATTCTTCTCGGCCAAGGGCCCCCCGAGGGCCCGGACCAGTTTTTTGGCCTTCCGGGGCTTTCCGGGACAAGGGCTTTCGGGCTGTATTTCATACATTTCAACACTTGACACACCAGACGCAAGGGGCCAACCCAAGGGTGGGCCCCCGAACTTCGCCCCCTGCCCAATCACCCCTGCCAAGGGCCCCCCCAACCAGGGCTCGGCCAAGGGCCCTCGGGCCAAGGGCGCTTCAAAAGGCTCACTAAAGGAAGGGGGACCACAAGATTTGTCCGTGCCCACAATGAAAAATGCGATTTTTGAATATTGAAAACGAGGGCTTTAGGCACCCCTGCCCGCAATGAAAATGTTCTTTTTTAGTACCGAAATCGATGGCTCCCCCCAAATCAGCAAGGACCTCTACGGGCCCTGACGTGCCGAAGGCCCGAAAAGGACCGAGGCTACCCCGAACCCCAACCTAAACCCTAACACCGCAAAACCCTACGACGGCCTTCAAGTAAATAAGGGCCTCTACGGGCCCTAACGTGCCGAAGGCCCGAAAAGGGCCGAGGCTACCCCGAACCCCAGCTTAAACCCTAATACCGCAAAACCCTGCGAAGGCCTTCAAGCAAATAAGGGCCTCTACGGGCCCTAACTTGCCGAAGGCCCGAAAAGGGCCGAGGCTACCCCGAACCCGAGCTTAAACCCTAGCGATTGAAATACTCATTAGCGAAAAATTCATTAATAGGTTCCCTGACCTTTAAATGAATAAAACCTCTGACACGCCGAAGGTCCGAACAAGGCCCCGAGAGACCCCAAGAGCCACCAAAATGCTTCAAAAGGCTTCAAAAGGCCCCCTAAAAGAAGGGGGACCCCAGGATGCCCGTACCCGCAATGAAAAATGCGATTTTTTGGTAGTGAAATCGATGCTAAATTGAGGCCCTTAAAGAAGGGGAATCCAGGAGCAGACACAAAGGGTTTCCCTGACCTTCAAATAAATAAGGGCCTCTACGGGCCCTGACACGCCGAAGGCCCGAAAAGGGCCGAGGCTACCCCCAACCCCAGCTTAAACCCTAACAGCGCAACTTTAAAAACATCAAAGCAAGCATCAGAGCACAAGAAAATAAATTCAGAAACCCTAAACCCTAATAGAGTATAGTTTGGGTGGCCCGGGTGGGTTGACGGGCAACGCGAGCGCACGGCCCGGGGTGTTTCACACCCGAGAGCGCGCGCCCTCCCCTGACACTCCCCTGCTCAACCCTAAACCCTAAACCCTAAACCCTAAACCCTAAACCCTAAACCCTAAACCCTAAACCCTAAACCCTAAACCCTAAACCCTAAACCCTAAACCCTAAACCCTAAACCCTAAACCCTAAACCCTAAACCCTAAACCCTAAACCTAACCCTAAACCCTAAACCCTAAACCCTAAACCCTAAACCCTAAACCCTAAACCCTAAACCCTAAACCCTAAACCCTAAACCCTAAACCCTAAACCCTAGACCCTAAACCCTAAACCCTAAACCCTCTCTACCTATGTATATTTAAACCCCATTAGTCGTGTTCTGATTATGGTTTTTTGACGGTTTAGGATTTAGGATTTAGGATTTAGGATTTAGGATTTAGGATTAGGATTTAGGGTTCAGGGGCCTCTCTGGGGCCTCCAAGGCACTTGCTTCCTCTTGGCTGGGAGGGGCCGTTTTGGTCAAAAACCCAGAAAACGAGAGCCACCCGGGACCGTCGATTTCAGTACTAAAGAAAACGCATTTTTAATAGGGACCCGGGCCGATCCTGGGGTCCCCCTCATTTGGGGTGTTTTTGGAGGCAAACTTTCCCTCTTGAGGCAAGGGGGGGTCTCCGAAGACTATTTTGCCTTTAAATTGAAAAATGCCACCCCCCCTTGACCGAAACTAGGCTGCGAAAAGGTCGCGGGGGCGGCCCTTCATCAGAACTGAGGCGTGAAAACCTTGAAACACCCTGAAAAACATTGAAAAACCTTAAAAAAACATTGAAAAACTCTGAAAAACCTGGAAAAACCTTGAAAAACTGGAAATCCTGAAGCCGGTGAAGGCTCGGTTTTGGTCAAAAAACCCAGAAAACCGACGCGGGTGTGTGTTATCCGTGTGCCGAATTGACTAGACGGAGCCGAATCGAGAAAGAATGTTGCGAGCTAAATGATCAACTAAAGTAAGAAAGAAGATATGTAATTCAGATGAAGAGGGATCTGGGAGGGAGGGGTGATGCCAAACATGTAGGGTGATGACAAAAACCCTTAGTGAATGCTTGGACCAGAGATGCTGAACCCTAAACCCTAAACCCTAAACCCTAAACCCTAAACCCTAAACCCTAAACCCTAAACCCTAAACCCTAAACCCTAAACCCTAAACCCTAAACCCTAAACCCTAAACCCTAAACCCTAAACCCTAAACCCTAAACCCTAAACCCAAAACCCCCTAAACCCCCTAAACCCTAAACCTAAACCTAAACCTAAACCCAAACCCTAAACCCTAAACCCTAAACCCTAAACCCTAAACCAACCCTAACCCCCTAAACCCTAAAAACCCTAAACCCTACCCTAACCCTAAACCCTAAACCCTAAACCCTAAACCCTAAACCCTAAACCCTAAACCCTAAAGCCCTAAACCCTAAACCCTCAACCCTAAACCCTAAACCCTAAACCCGAACTCCCAAACCCGAAGCCCTTTGTTTTGGGTTGCGACTCCTTTGTTTGGGGGCCAGATGGAAGCCAAGCCAATCCCGAAGCCGAAAGGCCATGACCATTCGGGTTGAGGGTTTAGGGTTTAGGGTTTAAGGTTTAGGTTTCAGGGTTTAGGGTTTAGGGATCAGTTTAGAGGTTTTGGGTTTACATAGGGTTTTAAGTGGTTTTAGGGGTTTAGATTTTTCGGGTTTGGGCTTCAGGGCCACAGAAACATACAAGCCCTGAACCCTCAGCAAACCCCAAACCCACACCCTAAAACCCTAAACCTAAACCCTAAGCCCGAAACCCGAAGCCCTAAACTCTAAACCCTGAGCAAAACCCAGGCTCAGGATGTTCCGCGAGCTCACGCCAGCCCGAGGAATGCTCCGGGACAGGGAGGACCAGGACCGGGTGGAAGGAATCCGACCAAAAAGCGCAAGCCCTAAACCCCAAACCCTGAACCCTAAACCCCAAACCCCAAACCCTAAACCCCCAAACCCCAAGCCACAAACCCCAAACCCCAAACCCCCAACCCCAAACCCTTAACCCTTAAACCCCAAGCCCCAAACCCCAAACCCCAAACCCCAAACCCCACGCCCCAAAGCCCAAACCCCAAACCCCCAAACCCCAAACCCCAAACCCCAAGCCCCAAACCCCAAACCCCCAAACCCCAAACCCCAAAACCCCAAAACCCCAAACCCCAAACCCCAAAACCCTAAACCCTAAACCCTAAACCCTAAACCCGAAACCCCAAACCCTAAATTTAAGAGCCTCCGGCTCAAGCCGCCGACCCCGCTGGAGCATAGTTGAGACCCGCTCGCATGGAAGATCATCCCCGGCAGAGTTCTGTGAATCGTTTGGGGGGGGGTAGGGGGTAGCCCCAGGACAAGCTCAAGCCAAAAAGACAGGTGGGTGGGGGTGGGGGGGGGTGTGGGGGGGTGGGGGGGGGGGTGGGGGGGGGGTGAGGAAACGCTGATTTTGCTGAGGGCGCCCCTACCCCCCTGTGCTGAACCGCCTGTTTACGCTGTGCGGGTGGCGCCGTCCTCCACGAAAAAATTGTGCACCGACCCCCCCCACCCCCCCCCCGCGTTTTGGGGGGGTAAGGAGGGAAAGAGGGAGGTTTTCACCTCCTTTTCCCATCCAACACGCCGCCAGGGTCGGCGGACCCCAAACCCCAAACCCTAAACCCTAAACCCTAAACCCCAAACCCTAAGCCCCAAACCCTAAACGCTAAACCCTAAACCCTAAACCCCAAGCGCGTTGCCAGGCCGTGGTCCTGGAGTTCGAGTCCATCGGGGGTCTGGACAACCTTCCCCGAGCCGCTCTGCTCAGAAGGGTTTAGGGTTTAGGGTTTAGGGTTTAGGGTTTAGGGTTTAGGGTTTAGGGTTTAGGGTTTAGGGTTTTAGTGTTTAGGGTTTAGGGTTTCGGGTTTCGGGTTTCGGGTTTAGGGTTAGGGTTTAGGGTTTTAGTGTTTAGGGTTTAGGGTTTCGGGTTTAGGGTTAGGGTTTAGGGTTTAGGGTTTAGGGTTGAGGGTTTAAGGGTTTGGGGTTTAGGGTTTTAGGGCTTAGGGTTTAGGGTTTAGGGGTTTAGGGTTTAGGGGTTTAGGGTTCAGGGTTTAGGGTTTAGGGGGTTCGGGTTTACGGGCTTAGGGTTTAGGGGCCTGGGGTTTAAGGGTTTGGGGTTTGGGGTTTCGGGTTCCGGGGTTTAGGGTTTAGGGCAAACAGCAAACCCTAAGCCCTAACTCTGAACCCAGCCTTGAGCCGAATGCATCTTGCCGAAAGTAGGTATCCCGCCCCTAATCATCCCAAACGCTCAGCCCCAAACCCGACCCTAAACCGTGGGTTTAGGGTTTAGGGTTTAGGGTTTAGGGTTTAGGGTTTAGGGTTTAGGGTTTAGGGTTTAGGGTTTAGGGTTTAGGGTTTAGGGTTTAGCTTAAGGCCCGAGCCTCAGCAACTCAACGCCAGAGCGCCGCCAAAGCTCGAAAGTCCTTGTCCCCCAAACCCTAAACCGTGCACCCCTACGCAAGCACTCAGGATCTCCAAGAACACACTTTAGGTTTTAGGGTTTAGGGTTAGGGTTTAGGGTTTAGGGTTGAGGGTTTAGGGGGTTTAGGTGTTGGGTTCCCCAAGCAGCAACGCTTGGGGCCCTAAACCCTAAAACAAAGACCCCTCCAAACGATTAGAAACCCAGAGCTTCGCCCACGAGTCCTGGAACTTCAGGGGACACTTCTAGACGGTCTTCTAGGGCGTTTGTAGCCTTCAGGGTTTAGGGTTCTGGATTTGAGGTTTAGGGTTTTAAGGCCTAGGGTTTACGCAAACACACACAAACACACAACTTGCAATCCGAACCTTCAGCCCCAAGCCTAAACCCAACATGCTCTGAATCCAAGCCCGACACCTTAAAACCCTTAAGACCCTTAAGACCTTTAAGACCCTTGAGACCCTTGAGACCCTTGAGACCCTTAAAACCCTTAAACCCTTAAGACCCTTAGGACCCTTAAGACCCTTCAGACCCTTAAGACCCTTAAGACCCTTAAACCCTTAAACCCTTAAACCGCTAAACCCTTGAACCCTTGAACCCTCAAAACCCTTAATCCCTTAAAATCCGTAAACCCTGAAACACAGAAGTCCTAACCTTTAAGCCCTAAAGCCTAAATCCTAAACCCTAAGACCCTAAATGGCCCTAAGCCCCCTTACCGACCAAGGAGGGCGACGTGGTCGAGCCTCTCGGCTCCGTGCAGCCCTAAGCCCGCACCCCTAAACCCCTAAACCCTACACTCGAAGACCTAAACCCTATGTAAACCCTAAACCCTACACCTCTCAACCCTAAACCCCCTAAACCCCCTAAAACCTATACGAACCCTAGACCCTAAACCCTAGACCCTAAACCCTAAACCCTAAACCCTAAACCCTAAACCCTAAGCCCTAAGCCCTAAGCCCTAAACCCTAAACCCTAAACCCTAAACCCCTAAACCCCGAAACCCTAAACCCCGAAACCCTAAACCCGAAACCCCAAACTGGCTTCGGGTCTCGGCTTCGGTGTGGGAGACGGCGCCTGATCGGGCTCATGGGAGATTTTAGGGGGTCATATGAGTGTTAGGGTTTGGGGGTTTAGGGATTAGGGTTTAGGGTTTAGGGGTTTAGGGTTTAGGGTTTAGGGGTTTAGGGTTTAGGGGTTTAGGGTTTAGGGTTTCAAAACTTCAGGGTTTCAGGGTTTAGGGTTTGAGGGTTTGGGGTTTAGGATTTAAGGTTTAGGGGCTAGGGGTTTAGGGTTTAGGCGTCTGGGGTGTAGGTTTCAGGTTTTACCGTTTCAAGCTTCCGAGCTGAACCCGACACCTGGAGGACACCGGATTCGCCTAAGCTCCTAGAGCTTAAGCCCTAAACCCTAAACCCTAAACCCTAAACCCTAAACCCCCTAAACCCTAAACCCTAAACCCTAAACCCTAAACCCTAAACCCTAAACCCTAAACCCTAAACCCTAAACCCTAAACCCTAAACCCTAAACCCTAAACCCTAAACCCTAAACCCTAAACCCTAAACCCTAAACCCTAAACCCTAAACCCTAAACCCTAAACCCTAAACCCTAAACCCTAAACCCAGTCAGTGGACCGGGGAGAGCGGCTGTTGGACTTTGGTAGTCTGGGAGTTCGAGGAAAGATCGAGGCTTCACCTCAGCGACTCTCTTTCGCTAGGGCTTAGGGCTTAGGGCTTGGGGCTTAGGGCTTGGGGCTTGGGGCTTAGGGCTTAGGGCTTAGGGCTTGGGGCTTGGGGCTTAGGGCTTAGGGCTTAGGGCCTAGAGCTTAGGGTTTAGGGCTTCGGGCTTTGGGCTTTGGGTTTGTGATTTCAACCCCAAAGCCCGCCGCAAGCCTTTTCATCCTCTAAGGTACCGCCAATTCGAAAATGAATCCGGGCATGAGGCCGTCAACGTCACCGTCAAGTCTCGGGCGCAGAAGGCGGTGGGTGTGGTCTTCGTCCTTCCTCCGGTTTAAGGGCGGGTTCCCCTACTACCCCCCTCTATACTACCCCCCCCTCCCCCCGCCTAGGTTCCCCCATAATTAAGGCTACTTAGGGATACGTAAGCCTAGTTAAAGTTATTAAAGGGGGGAACCTAATGAGGTAGTATAGAGGGGGGTAGTTGGGGAACCCCTGATTTAAGGGGGCTTCGTAGGGTGTTGACACATGAACCCCAAAGGCCCCTGACCCCTATCAAGCGGAAGCCCCAAACCCTAAACCCGAAACCCCAAACCCCAGATCCTAAGCCCTAAATCCTAAACCCTAAACCCCAAATCCTAAACCCTAAACCCCAAATCCTAAATCCTAAGCCCTAAACCCTACGCCTGCCCAAAAACACTGTCCCATCAGGCTCTGTAAGCCCCTACAAACGCCGCAAGTTCCAGCATGAGCCTGGAGATTGTGAGTTTAGGGTTTTAGGTTTTGGGGTTTAATTTCTGTTTCTTCGGGCGGCCGAGCGCGACGTGCTGCGCACTTTGGCGCCATCTCTTTAGGGTTTAGGGTTCAGGGTTCAGGGTTTAGGGTTTAGGGTTTAGGGTCTAGGGTTTAGGGTTTAGTGACACCACGTGCTGTATGGTGGTGTGTGGGCTGACCCTTGCGGTGTGGTCCGGCTTAAGGTGAGGGAAGCGTCTGGTAGCGCCGACTTCAAGGTAGTGTGGGGAAGTGCATACCTCTTTTTTAGGGCTGGGGTTCGCTTGCAATCCCCTTCAAACCAAAAAGGGTACCCTTTTATTCCTGGGCCAGGTAACTCCCGGTCCTAGTCAACGTCTACCCTTGAGGAGAATTCAACAGTAGGAGAGGTTTATGTTCTGGAAATCAGAGGGCCATGCTAGATGGCTATCTGAGGTCCAAGGCCGTAACCCTACATCCTAAACCCTACACCCGAAACCCCAAACCCCAAACCCTAAACCCCAAACCCTAAACCCTAAACCCTAAACCCCAAACCCTAAACTTTAAACCCCAAACCCTAAACCCTACACCCTAAACCCCAAACCCTAAACTTTAAACCCCAAACCCTAAACCCTGAACCCTGAACCCTAAACCCGAAACCCCAAACCCTAAACCCTAAACCCTAAACCCCAAACCCCAAACCCTAAACCCTAGACCCCAAACCCTAAACCCTAGACCCTCTAGCTTTCCTGAGCCCGAAGCCCCAGCAGGAGACGGCGCAGAGCAAACCTTCCGATTCGGAATGTTGGGCAGCCGACGCTGAAGCTGCAATCGGTTTAAGGGGTTTAGGGTTTAGGGTTTAGGGTTTGGGGGTTTTGGGGCGTTGGAATCTCAGGGACTTTAGGCATGTCAGGGGGCGTTCGGTATTTTCGGAGTTTGAGGGGCTTTTTAGGGATGTTAGGGATTTCAGGGGCTTTAGGGGCGTTCGGGATTCCAGGGGTTTTGAGGGGATGTTGGGGCATTGGGGTTTAAGGGATGGGTTTGAGGGATTTTTGGGGCTTTGGGATTTCAGGGATTTTCGGGATTTGAGGGATTTCAGGGATGTTAGGGAGGGGTGTTTAGGGGGCTTGAGGGATGTTAGGGATTTCAGGGTCTTAGGGATTTCAGGGATCTGAGGGGGTTTTCGGGGGTTTCAGGCCTTTAGGGGTTTTCGGGGTTTCAGGGGTCTTGGAGGCTTTAGGAATTTGAGGGCTTTCAGGGGCTTTAGGGAGCATTTTTGGGATTTCAGTGGTTTTAGGGGTTGTTAGGTTGTTGGGTTTAGGGATTATAGGAGCAAAAAAGGGGGTGTAGGGGTGAAAGGGTTTAGGGTTTAGGGTTTAGGGTTTAGGGTTTAGGGTTAGGGTTTGAGAGGGGACTGTTGTGAGGCGGAGTTTTCTTGAATGTGATGCAGTGTTTTGGATGAAGTTGATTTTGTTGCGAGTGCAAAGCAGATGTACGAGGGTTTAGGGTTATAACGCCGAGGGTATAAATGCCCTGACCTTAGGTGCATCAGGTTTAGACATTAAAACCTTTAAGCCTTATAAGGCTTTTTAAAGGTTGAATTCAATTCAGGTTTGGGCATTCAACCTAGGCTAAACCTTAAACCCTATAGTGCAGCCCTATAGGGTTTAAACCCTATAAGAGGTTAAAGGTTTAGAGTTTAAGGTTTAGGGCATTGCAAAAACGTAACCCTAGACCCTCAGGGACTTAATCACTTTGCTGTTTTCCTTAAGCCTTAAAGCATATAGTGTTTGGGTTTAGGGTTATAACGCTAAACTCTATAGGATAAGAACCTTATATTCCTATATGCGGTTGTATAAAAAACCCCGAGTTAAATCTATTCATCCGTCCCAGGGTTATCGTTTCATTTTCTTGATTATCGTTTTACAGGGTTTGGGGGAAGAACCAACAATTTGGAACCGATGTTCCCGTGAGCGGGCTGGGTTTTCGTTGATTTGTAGTACAAGCTTAGTACTGGAACCGACGTTCCCGTGAGCCGATTGGGTTTTCGTTGATTTGTAGTACAAGCTTAGTACTGGAACGGACGTGCCCCTGAGCAGGCTGGGTTTTCATTGATTTGTAGTACAAGCTTAGTACTGAAACCGGCTAGGTTTCCGTTGATTTGTAGTACAAGCTGAGCAGGCTGGGTTTTCAGTGTTTTCATGTATTTGTAGTACAAGCTTATCACTGGAATAGCGCCTGCCCGCCCTGTTACTACAAAGTTATCGGTTTATTTTCTTGATTATCGTTTTACGAGTCAGAAGCACTGCCCCAAACGCTTCGGGCAATTCCTTTCAAAATCGACTGCGCGGGGTTTTGATACAACCCCATATTATAGGCCTTGAGACTTAAAAGATAGGGTTTAGGGTTATAACGCTGAAGGTATAAATGCCCACACCTTAGGTACATCAGGTTTAGGCATTAAAACATTTAAGCCCTATCAGGTTTTTAAAGGTTTAACCCTATAGGATTTAAACCCTGTAAGAGGTTAAAGGTTTAGAGTTTAAGGTTTAGGGCATTGCAAAAACGTAACCCTAGACCCTCAGGGATTTAATCATTTTACTGTTTTCCTTAAGCCTTAAAGCATATAGGGTTTAGGGTTATAACGCTAAACTCTATAGGATTAGAACCTTATAACCCTATATTATAGGCCTCGAGGCTTAAATCCTACTGTTTTCCTTAAGCCTTACAGCATAAAGGGTTTAGGGTTCTAATGCTGAAGGTATAAATGCCCAGACCTTAAATACATCAGGTTTAGGCAGTAAAGCCTTTAAGCCCTATAAGGTTTTCAGAGGTTTAAGGCCTGGGGATTTAAATATAAGTTCGGGCATTCAAACTAGGTTAAGCCTTAAACCCTATAGGGCCCCTTTCGGTTCAGGGTTTATCTACCCTACCGGGTTAGCCCTTTAGGGTTTAAACCCTATAAGAGGTTAAAGGTTTAGAGTTTAAGGTTTAGGGCATTGCAAAAACGTAACCCTAGACCCTCAGTGATTTAACCACTTTATTGTTGTCCTTAAGCCTTAAAGCATGGTCATAACGCTAAACTCTATAGGATTTTAACCTTATAACCCTACATTATTAGCACCCACATCATCAAGACATGTCCTGTAGGCCCCGGGGACGCGAGAATACTGTGAGCAGATATCCTTTTACTCGCACATGTGACATCGCAACCTTCAGATATAGCGCTGGAACCAAGGTGAGATTGGATATCGTTTTGTGAAGCAGTTGTGGCTGTGACATCCATGTTTCGAAACAGGGGCTGTGTTTCGAAACAAAGGCTGTGTTTCGAAAGCAGGGAACTTCCGAATAACAGGTCTGGAAATACGTGAAAGCAAACCAACTGTGGCACAGCTACGGCTGCTACGCTTGAGGCACAGCCTCGAAACCAGGGGGGGGGGGGTGGGGGGGGGGGGGGGACTCCTGCCAAGATGGGCCAACTTGCAAGGACCCCCTGCCCCCCCGCTCCTCCAAACTCATGAACATGTCACTCTTTGAGAACATCATCTCAGTGTGCCAAACATCATGGTCAAGATCCCCACTTTCGAATGGACTGTTGTGAGGCCATAAGTTTAAAGTTGTAAGCGTTTACTAACCCCTAAACCTTATTAAATGACTGAAAACTACCCAACAACTCCGCCTCACAACAGTCCTTTCTGTAGGGTTTAGGGTTTAGGGTTTAGGGTTTAGGGTTTAGGGTTGGGTCTACGGGGCTCATGAGGGTTCGGGGTTTTAGGGTGCATGCGGCTCTAGGTTTTCAGGGCTTCGGACGTCGGGGCTTCAGGGATTCCGGATTTCAGATTGTTTAGGGTTTAGGGTTTAGGGTTTAGGGTTTAGGGTTTAGGGTTCAGGGTTTAGGGCTTCAGGGCTTCAGGGCTTCAGGGCTTCAGGGCTTCAGGGCTTCAGGGCTTCAGGGCTTCAGGGCTTCAGGGCTTCAGGGTATAAGCTTGTATGGCGCTAAGCCCGAAACCGTAAGAATTTTCACTCCCCTTAAACCCTAAGCCTTAAACCCTAAACCCTGAGCCTAAACCCTAAGCCTTAAACCCTAAACCCTAAGCCCGGCCCCGAACCGTACCGGGCCCAGCCCAGGAACAGTTCTTGCGCCGCCATGCGTTGCAGAGATGGGAGAAAGGCGGGGACGCGCAGGGGCCGAAGAGCCCTAACCCCTAACCCCTAACCCCTGAAACTCAAAACCCTAAACCCTAAACCCTAAACCCTAAACCCTAAACCCTAAACCCTAAACCCTAAACCCTAAATCCTAAACCCTAAACCAAAAACCTTAAAGCCTAAACCCTAAATCCCAAACTTGTTGGCTCTGCGTTGGGAGCTAGGCAAGAAGGTCTGGTATACAAGCCCTCAAAAGGGGGGTAGACAGGGTATAGGGGGTACCTGGTAACGATGATCACCTCGAGTTTCAGCAAACCAGGGCTTATGCCCACCAAGCCAACAAAAAAACCTCGACGATACCGAGACCGCCAGCCAACAAGGGCCTGGACGTAGAGCGGCCAGAACGATCAGGGACACCTGGGGAGCTTCGTCATCCTGGGCTGACGCAATAAAGCGATGATGAGTTCACCTGCTGGCACAACGGCGCGGAGGTTGTGCTGATCATTGAGGAGGAGCTGCCAGTGGTACGGATGCCCATGCTTCCGCCGGCGGTGCTCCAGAAGAATTACGGAGACGACCAAAAAAAACGAAGTCGCCCTAAACCCTAAACCCTAAACCCTAAACCCTAAACCCTAAACCCTAAACCCTAAACCGTAAACCCTAGACCCTAGACCCTAAACCCTAGACCCTAAACCCTAAACCCTAAACCCTAAACCCTAAACCCTAAACCCTAAACCCTAAACCCTAGACCCTAAACCCTAAACCCTAAACCCTAAACCCTAAACCCTAAACCCTGAACCTTACATCTTCCAAGGCCATGAGCACAAGCCCTGAAGCTCAGCAGCCAGGCCCTAGAGGTTCCCCCCTTGCTATACTCCTGATATGGCCCTTAAGAAACCGCCCAAAGAATGGAAAGTATTCTTCCGAATATAAGGGAAATATAGTTTTTTGTTTTGTTCAGCTTGTTTTTAGGGGGGGCTCTTAAGCAAGCCCCGGCCTGCAGTCGGCACAAATCACGGCATGAAGGCTCGTCACCCCCAAAGGCTCCCCCTTAATGGACTCCTGGTATGGCCCTCAAGAAGCCCCCCCGAAAAGTAGAAAATATGCGTCCTAATGAGGGCAATATAGCTTTTTTTTTTGTTTTTTTGTTTTTTTTTGGTTTTTTTTCAGCTTCTTTTGGGGGGTTCTTAAGCAAGCCCCGGCATGCGGTCCGCACAAATCAAGACATGAAGACTCGTACCCCTAAGGTTGTACCCCTCTCCTTAATGTACTCCTGATATGGCCATTAAGAACCCCCCCCAAAAAAAACAAAGAGCAGAAAAACAAAGATGAAGATATTCTTCCTAATTAGGGCAGCATAGTTTCTGTTTTTTGGTTTTGCGTTTTTTGTTCAACTTTTTTTGGGGGTTCTTAAGCAATTAGTAGGGCACGCAAACCCCCTTCTCGCTCTGAAGATTGGAACCCCCGCGGTATTGACACGCAAAATGGGGCATAACACCCAGATGACCCTTTACTGCGGGTCTCACTTGGGCAGCTGCTCTCAACCCTCAGCCTTATATAAGTCCCTGAGCTTTGGGATGTTCCCCCTTCTGCTAACAGTCCTCAATAGGGATTCTAATCGGGTGTAGTAGAATCCCTATCAAGGACTGTTAGTATAAGGGAGCATCCCAGCCCAAGCCCTACTTCTGATATCCCCAAGTAGGGTTTAGGGTTTAGGGTTTAGGGTCTAGGGTTTAGGGTTTAGGCAGCCTGGGATCCTCAAAAAGGTGAGCCCTTCACGCACAGCAGCATGAAGGGGTGCCCTCGGCTGCACTTGGTTTAGGGTTTAGGGTTTAGGGTTTAGACGCACTTTGGGTGGTCAGGTTGAGGGTTAAGCGCTCAACCTGACGGGGCCTCAAAACCCTGCACCCTAGGCTGGGGTACCCCAAACACTACACCCCAAACCCTAAACCCTAAACCCTAAACCCTAAACCCTAAACCTGAAACCCTAAACCCTAAACCCTAAACCCTAAACCTTAAACCCTAAACCCTAAACTCCAAACTCCAAACTCCAAACCTTCCGGGTCGGGGTGAGGGAGGAGCTTCAGCAGGGAGCTTGGGGTTTGCTAGGGGCTTGGGCGACAGTTCCCTAAACAAATTATGTTTAGGGTTTAGGGTTTAGGGTTTAGGGTTTAGGGTTTAGGGTTTAGGGTTTAGGGTCCTGTTGAGTGTCCCAATAAGAGGCTCCGCATGATCATGGACACTCAAGAAGTGGCCTCTATTTTAGGGAACCGAACAACCCCTAAACCCTGCAACCCTGCAACCCTGCAACCCTGCAACTGCAACCTTAAGCCTGGTAGACACCAGCCCCCACAACCCTCTAGCACAGCCCCCAACAAAATAACAAACTAAACTAAAATGAATAAAGTGTACTAATCATCGTGATAGTAAGAAAGGTAATAATAACAAGCACTAATAATACATATTTCTATATACACAAATATATACTATATATATATACACATACGAGGGGAGCCTCCCGTAAAACCCTTGCAAGGTACAGGGACAGCTTCGCGAGGGACACTGGGAAGTTCAAGTTCCCAGACGACGAAGCAACCATGAAGGACTCGGCTAGGGACTTGGGGTTTAGGGTTTAGGGTTTAGGGTTTAGGGTTTAGGGTTTAGGGTTTAGGGTTTAGGGTTTGGGGTTTGGGGTTTGGGGTTTGGGGTTTAGGGTTTAGGGTTTAGTTTTCAGGGTTTAGGGTTTAGGGTTCAGGGTTGTGGGGTTTTGGGGGGTTTAGGGGTTGCGAGTTTAGGGTTTAGGGCTAGGCCTAGAAATTGACCCATATCATCCCCCTTCGGAATCTTTATAGGATCTTAATTTGGGACCCGAAGGCCGAAACCCCAAACCCTAACCCTAAACCCTGCACCACAAACCCTAAACCCCAAACCGCAAACCCCAACATACCTATTCTGGCTGCGCGGTCTGGACCTTCTCGGGGGCTCGCTGATAGCTGCTGTTGTAGAGTCATCCGGCTGAGGGTTTAGGGTTTCGGGTTTAGGGTTTAGGGACTTCCATCGGGCCGTTAACGTGGCAGCAGGCTACGAATGTGACCGCTGTCACTGCCGCAGAATCAAGCACTTCATGCGCCATGCATGCGCCTCATGAGTATCTGGCATTCGCAGTCGCAGTCGCAGTAGCAGTAGCGGCACCATGAGCATACGAAAACCCTAAACCCTAAACCCTAAACCCTAAACCCTAAACCCTAAACCCTAAACTAGGGTTTAGGGTGTAGGGTTTAGGGTTTAGGGTTTTGGGTACCCTAAATAAGAGGGGCCGCCATAAAAAAAAAAAAAAAAACCAAAAAAAGGGCACCACATTTGAGAGAAGCGGCCATATCACCACACCCAAGCCCCGGCCCGGGAGACCCAGGTCGGGGTCGATTCGGGGTGGAACCCGAAACCCTAAACCCCAAACCCTAAACCCTAAACCCTAAACCCTAAACCCTAAACCCTACACCCTAAACTTCGGAACACCTTGCGGATCGAGTGCAGAGCTCGAAGTGAAGCTTCGGGTTTGGGGTTTGTGGGTCACTGTTGACAATCATGTTACACTCTTATGAATACTCAAACCCAATCAGGGGTTGAGGGTTTAGGGTTTAGGGTTTAGGGTTTAGGGCTGAAGGAACAAAAATGATCATGTTTAATCGTACCTCCAACAGTGGTGCAGGGTTAGGGCTCACGGTATGTGTGGCCTCGTCGAATCCAAATTTCAGCCCCCGCTCCTCTTCGTGGCTTGTCCGATATTCCTGAGCATGGTCATGGCGCAAAAACGCTTTCAACAACTTCAGACCCTACTTGGAGGTTCAGGGTACTTAGTAACCCATGAGAAGTGTAGTTCTAACCCACATATAAGCCCCTTACGTACCCTAATATGGTTAGAGTTGGGTTGTAAGTGCAGATATAGTTGGGTTACTAAGTACCATGAACCTCCAAGTAGAATCCGAAGCCCTAAGCCCTCAACACCCCATGCCCTAAACCCTAAACCCTAAACCCGAAAAACTAGACCCTAGACCCTGAACCCTAAACCCTTAGGACCCTAAAATCTGAAGCCGCAAGCCCTCAACACCCCATGCCCTAAGCCCTAAGCCCTAAACCCTAAACCCTAAACCCTAAACCCTAAACCCTAAACCCTAAACCCTAAACCCTAAACCCTAAACCCTAAACCCTAAACCCTAAACCCTAAACCCTAAATAAACCCTAAATAAACCCTAACCCTAAACCCTAAACCCTAAACCCTAACCCTAAACCCTAAACCCTAAACCCTAAACCCTAAACCCTAAACCCTAACCCTAAACCCTAAACCCTAAACCCTAAACCCTAAACCCTAAACCCTAAACCCTAAACCCTAAACCCTAAACCCTAAACCCTAAACCCTAAACCCTCATCCTATCCCTTACAAGATCAGGAGCTGGGCGAAGCCATTGCTGTGTTCTACCGGCTCTCGCACGCTGTCCCGGACACGCCCAAGAAGCTCTTCCTGCCCCTCTGCTGGCAAAGAGCCTATACCTTAAACCCGAAGCCCTAAACCCTAAACCCTAAACCCTAAACCCTAAAGCCTAAAGCCTAAAGCCTAAAGCCTAAAGCCTAAAGCCTAAAGCCTAAAGCCTAAAGCCTAAAGCCTAAAGCGTAAAGCCTAAACCCGAAACCCGAAACCCGAAACCCTATATCCTAAATCCTAAATCCTAAGCCCTCATCCTAAACCCTAAACCCTGGGCTCAGGGATGTGACAAAATTATGCCAATCAAGCCCCTACGTTCCAGATCCCAAACCCAAAGCAGTCCCAAACCCGAAGCCCTAAACCCTAAACCCTAAACCCTAAACCCTAAACCCTAAACCCTAAACCCTAAACCCTAAACCCTAAACCCTAAACCCTAAACCCTAAGATCCCTGAACCCGCAGCTGAAACGCGAAGACTGAAGCCTTGCACCTCCGAACCTCCTAGCCAAAGGACAAGCCAGGGGTTAGGGTTTAGGGTTTAGGGTTTAGGGTTTAGGGTTAGGGTTTAGGGTTTAGGGTTTAGGGTTTAGGGTTTAGGGTTTGTTTTTCTTTGTTTTTTTTGTGGGGGGGGGGGGAATTACTTAGATAGAAGCTTTGATACCAAACCCTTAAAGAACTGCCCAGATGTGTCCCCATCAATGCCATCGGGGTCCCCAAGCCTTGCCTCGTGTTTCCGCCACAGGAATTTAGGGTTTGACAGTTTAATCCGGAAGCCCTAGACCGTACACCTCAAGCAAATGTCAAACACATTCCCGGAAGATAGTATGGTGCCTCAGGTGCGAAAATCCCCACCCTGAACCCTAAACCCTACAAGCGCCCGAAGCCCTAAATCCTAAACCCTAAACCATCCTAAACCCCAAACCCTGAACCCTGAGCCCTAAGCCCAAAACCCTAACCCTCAACCCCAAACCCCGAACCCTCAACCCTCAACCCCAAACCCCAAACCCCAAACCCCAAACCCTAAACCCTAAACTCTAAACTCTAAACCCTAAACCAGGTGCGAACATCCCACGGATGTGTACGCCTTCGTCGAGGACATCGACGTCTTGGGGGGCTACGTCGGTGGGGTTCCGAACCTGGGCAAGGCTTGGGTTTAGGGTTTAGGGTTTAGGGTTTAGGGTTTAGGGTTTAGGGTTTAGGGTTTAGGGTTTAGGGGTTTAGGGTTTAGGGTTTAGGGTTCAGGGTTTAGGGTTTAGGGTTTAGGGTTTAGGGTTTAGGGTTTAGGGTTCAGCATCTCAAGTTCGAGCGTTTACTAGGCCAGCAGTGTGTGTAGGCAACGGAAAAGAACCCACCCGCCCGAAGAATCCCATAACATTACGACAATAGAAAGTGTGTTTTTTGTTCGTGTTGAGCAAGTGGGGTTCAAGGCGTCAGAGGGGCCAAAATGGATCAAATTCCCAAATTCGTGCTGAACAATGGGGGGTCAGAGGGGTCAGAAGGGCCATACCATTAAGAAAATAGAAGGTTCATTATTTTCTCTTCGGATGCACCAATACACAAAACAATCACGCCGTAGTACCAAGCACCTCACACAAGCCACGCCAGGCCTTGAGGCCCTGAAACCCTAAACACCAGGCCTTGAGGCCCTGAAACCCTAACCACCAGGCCTTGAGAACCACCAGGCCTTGAGGCCCTGAAACCCTAAACGCCCTAAACACCAGGCCTTGAGGCCCTGAAACCCGGGGTTTAGGGTTTATAGGGTTTAGGGAGTATCTGATGGCCGATCTCAGTTCATGGCTTTCCTTGGTACCTTGAAACCCAAAGCAATCTAGCATACAAAGAGACCCCCAGATCCGTAATTTGATGTCAGGTTTCATTGTCTTAGGGTAGTTACATGGTCCCGTAGTATGGGCCCTTAAACGACATACCCCGTATATGCGCTATACAAACTATGGGCCCATACATCAGATCCCTAATCCCTACTTGGAGGTTCATGGTACTTAGTAACCAATTATAACTGTACGTATATCTGTACCTATAGCCATATTAGGGCACTTAAGGGGCTTGTAAGTGGGCTAGAAGTTCACTTATTATTGGTTAGTACGTGCCATGAACCTCCATGTAAACCCGAAACACACACGTTTTTTGGCCACCAGACCCCAAGCCCTCACCGAGGAATGTCATGCGCAATGGCCCCAATGACTACGATTATGCACCTCGGCTGTGAACCAGTGGGTCAGACTTGTCTAGGTTTTTTGGGGGTTGGGGTTTAGGGTTGAGAGTTTAGGGTTTAGGGTTTAGGGTTTAGGGAAGATGGTTTAGGGTTTAGGGTTTAGGGTTTAACGGTCGCGTGTTACCCGCTTCGGCTCGGGTGGAGCTGTGGAGCCTTGAGCCGTCATGATCCCGCGAAGTCCAACGCGAGAGAAGCGGGAAACATGCACTTTGCACCTCAAACCCTAAACTTCGCACCCCTAAACCATAAACCCTAAACGCTAAACCCTAAACCCTAAACCCTAAACCCTAAACCCTAAACCCTAAGCCCTAAACCCTAAACCCTAAACCCTAAACCCTAAACCCTCAACCCTCAACCCTCAACCCTCAACCCTCAACCCTAAACCCTAAACCCTGAACCCTAAACCCTAAACCCTGAACCCTAAACCCTAAACCCCTAAAACCTTTATGAACCCTAAACCCTAACCCTAAACCCTAAACCCTAAACCCTAAACCCTAAACCCTAAACTAAACCCTAAACCCTAAACCCTAAACCCTAAACCCTAAACCCTAAACCCTAAACCCTAAACCCTGATGCTGACGGCCCGTGTGAGTTTGCGTATCGAATTGGGAGGGTTTAGGGTGTTGGGGTCGGGGTTTTGGGGCTTAGGGTATTGGAGTTGAGGGGCTTGGGGTTTATGTTTCTTCAGGGTTTCGAGGTTTAGGCTTTAGGGTTTGGGGAAGCCTGTGGAATTCCCTTCCCCTACTACGGGGTGTCGGGTTTAAGGTTTAAAGCCCACAGCCCCCTACTCCAATATACCAGTGACTAGCCCATTCTACCATATTTGAGTAGGTTGCCACCCAAAGCGCTTGGTGTTTCCGGGTCGGTTTGCTCAGTTGAAAGCCCCCCTTGAGGGGGGATTGGGGGGTGAACCCTAGAATAGTTTGGGTGGTTGTGGTGGGACTACTTGCTAATGCAAGCGAGCGGCCTGGGTGCTTTTTGCACCAGCAAACTTCCCTTCTACACACCCTAAACCCTAAACCCTAAACCCTAAACCCTGAACCCTAAACCCTAAACCCTAAACCCTAAACCCTAAACCCTAAACCCTAAACCCTAAACCCTAAACCCTAAACCCTAAACCCTAAACCCTAAAACCCTAAACCCTAAACCCTAAACCCTAAACCCTAAACCCTAAACCCTAAACCCTAAACCCTAAACCCCAAACCCTAAACCCTAAAACCCCAAGCCCTAAACCCTAAACCGTAGATACACGCACAAGGAGCTCCTGAAGTGGCGAGCGAAGGTGCTAAGGAAGTGCCGCGGCTCAACGTGGGGCTTAGGCAAACCCCTGGGCTTGGAGTTTAGGGTTTAGGGTTTAGGGTTTAGGGTTTAGGGTGTAGGGGTTGGGGTGTAGGGTGTAGGGTGTAGGGTTAGGGTTTAGGGTTTAGGGATTAGGGTTTAGCGTTTGCAGTTTAGGGTCTTCATAGGAAATCGGTTCATCAGGATCCCTGTACTTGCTTGAAGGGTCAGATAGCGCTGAATTTCCTAATTCCAAGTTCCCTATTGAGCCCTCGTAAGGGGCTTGGGGTTTAGGGTTTGGGGTTTAGGGTATTCTATTGAGGACTCGTAAGGGGCTTCGCATTTAGGAGGCTCAGGGCTTTCAGTATCGAGCTGGGGAGGGCACACACAAAGAGAGCCGCCAAAACCCCAAGCCTCCAAAACCCCAAAGCTTAGGGTCTAGGCTTTAGGGTTTAGGGTAGCCCCAAACCTCAAACCCTTAGCCAACAAACCCCTCATCCCTAACAACCCCTAAACTCCACACCCCAAACCCAAATACGGACTTGCTGGAGACAGGGTCGTCTGCAAGAGCACAGCGCATGGGCAAAGCAAATTCTTTCGAGTGCCATGATGGACATCTCCGAGAGCATTTGGTCGAGCAGGTTTGTGGGGGAGGCCTCGCGAAAGTGAAGCGTTTGCTCACGGGCTTGTCCCTTCTCAAGCATGAAGGGAACCTGAAATTCATGCCATGTGCTGTGGAAGCCCGCGCCAGCAAGGCCGCAGGAGCGGTTCTATGCAAAGCAGCCCCTGCAAGAGCACCAGTAGAAAACATGAGCCTTCCGACCCATGGGGGGGCTTTCTAGTAGGGCTTAGGGTTAGGGTTGTGGGCTTAAGGGGGGGGGATACAATTGGAGGGTTTAGGGTTTAGGGTTTAGGGTTTAGGCTTGGGGGTTTGGGGTGTAGGGTTTAGGGTTTTGAATTTGGGGGTTCGGTTCAAATCGGTAAGTCCTGGGTCACTTTGGGCATCTCAGGGCTTGCTAGCCCTAAACCCTAAACCCCCAAGCAGGGTGTAGGGTTTAGGGGACGTTTAGGACGTTTAGGGTTTAGGGTTTGGGTTTTAGGATTTAGGGTTTAGGGTTTAGGGAAACCTTCAACTCAGGATCTTCCCTGGTGCCGAGCCGCGCCTCATGCTCTACGAGGCCTTGGGACACCCCGGCAGGTTTAGGGTTTAGGGTTTAGGGTTTAGGGTTTAGGGTTTAGGGTTTAGGGTTTAGGGTTTAGGGTGTAGGGCTTCTCAGGGACGCCTCTGAACACAGCTTAGACCCCTAGTAAAGACAGACGCGGGTTGGTCGAAAATGCGGCTAAGCCCTCAACACTAAGCCCCACGAAGCCCTAAACTCTAAACCCTGGACCCTGAACCCTGAACCCTGAACCCTAAACCCTAAACCCTAAACCCTAAACCGAAAGCCTAAAATCCCATAGGAGTATGCCAAAGCCGACCCCTCCCCAAGAAGGCCCCAGAACGCCAATCCCATCTCTCGATGTTGCAACCCGGGGCCACACCTGTAGCTCGAAATTAAGGAAGACGCCTTAAACCTAACTAAGGGGTTTAGGGTTTAGGGTTTAAGGTTTAGGGTTCAGGAATCGACCGAACTGACTGACTGGTTAACTTAACTAATGTAAGTAACTTGAAACTAGCCCGGCCAGCTAGCTTGCTGACCGACCAACTACCTGAAGCCTTGAAGCCCTGGACGTCTGAGTGGCCGCTCAGGGAGTCGAGGGGTTTAGGGGTTCAGGGTTGGGGTCTGAGGGGGCTCAGAAGGGTTTAGGGTTTAGGGTTTCGGGTTTCAGGGTTGAGGATTTTTAGGGGCTCAGGGCAGAAGGGAAGCTTTTGAGATCAGGGGGCAGAATGCCCTGCACATCTGCCATGAGGCCTGCGGCATGTACCAGGGCCACGACATCTTCAAGGAGTCCTCTCACCTTGTGGGTTTAGTGTTTAGGGTTTAGGGTGTAGGGTGTAGGGTTCAGGGTTTAGGGTTCAGGGTTCAAGGTTTGAGGCTTAGGGTTTAGACATTAATGGCCCTTACACTACTACCTTAAGGACCTTTTTTGAGCCCTAAACCCTAAACCCTAAACCCTAAACCCTCAAGCCCCTTGTAACTTGAAATTATTAAGACAAATCCAAGAAACAAAACTCCGTGAAACTCCTCGAAACTTTCCCCGGACCTGAACCCTTAATAATTTCAATAAACCCTAAACCCTATACCCTAAACCCTAGACCCTAAACCCTAACCCGAAACCCAAAACCCCAAAACCCAAGGGTACCGCCTTAAGGGTCCACGGAAGAAAAAAAACCAGCTTCGAGGAGTCCTATCATCTTGTGTGGCCTCTTGGCAGCCATTGGCCGGGAAGGGTTAAGGGTTTAGGGTTAAGGGTTAAGGGTTGAGGGTTGAGGGTTTAGGGTTTGGGGTTTAGGGTTTGGGGTTTAGGGTTTAGGGTTGCGAGTTGAGAGTTCTACCGGAGCGCAAATAGGAATCTCTTCGCTCTTGTAGTGTGAAAAGTTCCCGGACCCATTCCGATCAAACAGGTCCCTGAACCCTAAACCCTAGACCCTAAACGCTGCAATCAAGGCTTCAGGCCCCAACGCACAGCCCTACAGCCTGAACCCTCATGTCACCAAACCCTGATCCACCAAACCCTAAACCCTCAACCCCGAACCCTAAACCCCAAACCCTAAACCCTGACACCCCTAAACTACCCCTCCCTCACTCAGCCCCAAACCCCTAAACCCTCAACCCCGAACCCTAAACCCTGACACCCCTAAACCTACCCTCCCTCAGCCCCAAACCCTCAACTCCGAACCCTAGACCCCAAACTTTATAAACCCTCAACCCCTAAACCTAACCACTAACCTCCACTCCCAAGCTCCCAAGGCCAATGGTTATGGTTGACAAGCAGCGCGCCGTGGCAGCCCGCGAGGAAACGGTGCGCCTATTCGAGCAGATGAGCGAAGAAGAGGCACTCCACGAAACGGGGCTTTCGGGTTTGGGGTTTGGGGTGATAAGTTTAGGGTTTAGGGTTTAGGGCTTGGGGTCTGGGGTTGTAAGCCCTAAGCCCTACATGCTAAGCCCTGATCCCTTTTGGGTTTAGGGCCAGTTCAGGGTTTTGGGTCTGGCATGGGTCAGCTGAGCGAGTTAGAGGAGCTACAGGTGCGGGCCACAGCAGCCTAGAGCACTACCAACATGATCCCGTTCTACGGCCCATTGAATTGCAATACATGGGGTCTCCGACAACCGGGGACCCCTTATATAGAAAGTAGTAAGATTCCCTTATAAAACAAGGACCCTAGTAAGGTAAATTTCGGAAACTCCCATTTTCGTAATCCCAAATACTGGTACTGGCTTTCCTCAAACACACATTCTAATTACAGTGGCCTCTAGCCCAAATAGGGCCGCTAAGCCTACCTTGGGATCCATCCTGGCAGTGTTTAGGGTTTAGGGTTTAAGTTCTTTAAACATCTGGCGGTCAGTTCTCCACGTCATCTGGCTGGTTCTTAGTAGGGGATGAGGGAATGAGGTGTATACATCTATACAGGGCCCCAATTCCCTCATTCCCTGCTAATAACAACAAATCATGTGGCACAGGGTTTAGAATTTGGGGATAGTTGTAAATTTGCCTTCTTTCCTTGTAAGGGAACCTATTCACAAATCATTTCCAAAGGCTTTAAAGCACAACGCAGGGTACGGGGTTTAGGGGGTTTTCGGCTTATCTGCAAGTTAGGGTTGGGAGTTTAGGGTTTAGGGTTTAGGGTTTAGGGTTTGGGGTTTAGGGAGTTTATAGCGTTAGGGTTCCTGTTGTTTCGGAGGCGTTAGCTCAGTGCGTCCCAAACTTTGAGTTGAGGGTTTAGGGCTACTTCTACCCAAAGCCCGAAATCTTCAATCCCTGATTGAATGAGCTCCCCCGAAGCTCTGAGCTCCCCCTGGTGCACAAGGGCCATCCTTTGGCCAAGCTGCTGCACCGAGCCAAGCAGAAAGACGAGATGCTCGGAAAGCACTGAATTGGCCAGTAAAGGGTTTAGCGTTTACAGGGTTTATAGGGGTTTATAGGGGTTATAGTGTTTTTTGGGGTTTTTGGGGTTTTTAGGGTTTTTAGGGTTTATAGGGTTTGTGGGGTTTGCAGGGTTGGTTGTGTTAACGGAACCAACCTTATTCTGGCACGGGAGGTTTATCATGGATTCCTCTGCTACCCCCCTCTATACCACTCCCCCCCCCCCCCCGCCCGTAGAGCCCCCCCATAATTCAGGCTATTTAAGGATAATTAAGCCTAATTATTTAAGGGGGGAACCTAAGCAGGAGAGTATAGAGGGGGGTAGTCGGCAAACCCCAAATCCTAAACCCAAAACCCAAAACCCCAAACCCCAAACCCTAAACGCCCTAAACCCTAAACCCTAAACCCTAAACCCCAAACCCTAAACCTAAACCCTAAACCCTAAACCCCAAACCCCAAACCCTAAACCCTAAACCCTAAACCCTAAACCCTAAACCCTTAATGAGTTTAGTGTGGGGGGGGGGGCCTGGGGTGCTTTGTTTAGGGCCCCGGGCCTTGGCTTTCGAGCTTCGGCTTCTGGGGTTTAGGGTTTGGGGTTTAGGGTTTAGGGTTTGGGGTTTAGGGTTTTAGCTAATTTGGGGCTTAGGGTTTAGGATTTTCGGGGTGGATTACGGCTTTAGCTTCTGAGGCCGTAGAAGCCAGACGCTCTGAATCCCGCACATGTGCCCCAGGAACAACAGCTGGGAAAGAATCTTCGATATCTCCACGCACCTCGAGCTGCAAAAGCAAATCTCAGCCCCAGACATGTTTACTTGAAGGTTCATGGTACTTATTAACCAATTATACCTGTACTTATAACTGTACTTATAAGCCCCTGAAGTGCCCTAATATGGTTATAAGTACAGTTATAAGTACAGTTATAATTGGTTACTAAGTACCATGAACCTTCAAGTAGGGTTTGGGGTTTAGCTTTTGGGGTGGGCTTAGTGCGGGGTCTGCGGTTTACTTTTTTTTGGGCTTCGAGGCCCGAACCAAGGTAGGACCTTGCAAACGTGTTTTGAAACATCTGTTCCTTTCTTGGGTTTCCGCATATCTTATTTCGGAGAGACTTTTCTGAGGGCCTGTCACAGGGTTCAGGGTTTTCAGGAATCAGGCCCTCGGCCGCCCGGGGGGGGGAGGGGGGTAGTTTGTCTTTGCAGCCTGGGCTTTAGAGCGGAAGATCGGAACGTTTTCCAGAAAGCCGCAGACCCAAGCTGAGAGGCCCGACCATCCGCATACTCCCTTTTGAAGCCCCAAACCTCGAACCCTACGTTTCAACCCTAAACCAAAGCCCTAATCTCAGCCCTAACAACGCAGGCCTAAGCCTCCCCTCGCCTTCGACCCCCCCCCCCCCCCCCGGTTTAGGGTTTAGGGGGGTGTAGGGTTTAGGTTTAGGGTTTAGCCTCCTCCTCATTGACCCAAATAATTAGGGGTCCACCCAATGGCTGACGGTTCGGGGTTCTCCCTTCATGGCATACTACTGGGGAGGTGCGGGGGCTGTCCCTAAACCGAAACCCCAAACCCTAAACCCCCTACACCCCAAAACCCTAAACCCTAAACCCTAAACCCTAAACCCTAAACCCTAAACCCTCAACCCTCAACCCTCAACCCCCTAAACCCTCAACCCTCAACCCTCAACCCTCAACCCTCAAACCCTCAAAAAACCCTCACCTCAACCTCAACCCTCAAGGCCTGAACCCTCAACCCTCAACCCTCAACCTCACCCCTCCCTAACCCTCAACCCTCAAACCCTCACCCTCAACCTCAACCCTCACCCTCAACCTCAACCCTCAACCCTCAACCCTAACCCCTAAACCCTAAACCCTAAACGCTAAGCCGTAACCCTAAACCCTAAACCCTCAACCCTCAACCCTCAACCCTCAACCCTCAACCCTCAACTCTCAACCCTCAACCCTAAACCCTAAACCCTAAGCCCTAACCCTCAACCCTCAAACCCCAAAACCCTGCGGGCTACTTCTCAGGACCAGGCCCAGCATTGGGGCGCGAATGCCTTATTCAGACGCCGGGCAGCACTCCGTGCGCTGAATGCAGGGTTTAGGGTTTAGGGTTTGGGGTTTGGGGTTTAGGGTTTAGGGTTTAGGGTTTAGGATTTAGGGTTTAGGGTTTAGGGCTTAGGGCCCCGCAAAAAAACCTCTATCAGCATGCGGGGCTTTGCGATATTCGGGGTACCTTCTTGAGGTCCTTCTTGTAAGGGGATCCTGCAATTTGGGGTCTACACTAGGGGTCCCTTATTATCGTAACCCCCCCCCATATCTTTGCGGTGCTTTACTGTGACTTTAGATCCTTCGTCTTTTTGGTTTTATTGGGTTTCCTACGAAGACAGCTAAAAATCTAATTTATAGCTACCCTCCTAAGTGCAGCCAAGATATTCCAAACTGGTCAGAAGCCGTATGTTAAGAAAGTTAGGCCTACATGTCAGACCCTTTTTTGGGATAAAGCTCCCCGCCCCCCTCTCCCCCTCCCCCTACCAACAAGATTATTTTGAACCGAAGGCTTCTGTTTCAAGGTAGATTCCTTAGTTCGGCTGCTTGTTTTGAAGATCGGGGCTGTGACAAAAGCTCTGCTGCACCCCAACTCGGTACCAGAATAGAGAAGGTGCCTAAAAACTACGGGGGGAACCGGGTAGTATAGAGGGGGGAGTAGGGGAACTTCCGCGGTCGACCGCGTATCCCGAGATGCCTGTGTACAACGGTCCCATATAGTGACCCTAAACCCTAACCCCTAAACCCTGAACCCTAAACCCTAAACCCTAAACCCGAAACCCTAAACCCTAAAGCCTAAACCCTAAACCCTAAACCCTAAACCCTAAACCCTAAACCCTAAACCCTAAACCCTAAACCCTAGTGATGTAGGAACGCAAGAGTAGCCTCCTTAGTTCAAAAGGTTTTTACAAGGCAAGAAGGCCTACTCCGGGGCTCGGGTAATTAGTTTAGGGTTTAGGGTTTAGGGTTTAGGGTTTAGGGTTTAGGGTTTAGGGTTTAGGGTGTAGTTTACTGTGGCTCACCCTGCGCTGTAGATGGACATCTACGTACCCTCGGTAGAACCCCGAGCCCTCCATACACTGAGACCGAGACCCTACTTGGAGGTACGTGGTACTTATTAACCAAGTCTAACTGTACTTATATCTGCACTTATAATCATATTAGGTCTCTTAAGGGGCTTGTAAGTGGGTTATAAGTTCACATATAACTGGTTAGTAAGTACCATGAACCTCCAAGTAAACCCCAGGGTCCTTAAGGGAGGGGGGATCCTTGGGGGGTAAGTACCTAGGGCTTAGGGTTTAGGGTTTAGGGTCTACCTTCGGGAATCCTTAGGGAGCCTTAGGAGTAGTGAGGGGTATTCAGGAGTATGAGGGAGCATTGGGTTCCATGCCCCCCTTAAATCCCGAAGCCCTAAACCCTAATACCTAAACCCTAAACCCTAAACCACAAGCCCTCAAGCCCCTGTAAGCTGAAAGTAATGTTGGACCCGCTTTAGTATTGGCCCCCTCTTTAAAGACAATTTGGCTGAATTGTTCAGGACACCCTGACTGTTGGGAGTCCCTCTTTAATGACAAATCGTCCGGGCGCGAAAGAAAATTCCACGTGGCGCGCCTTGAAGAAAGATTGCCGGGCATCGCTGCCCTTGTTAAACGTAAAATCATCTAAACCCTAAACCCTAAACCCTAAACCCTAAACCCTAAACCCGAAACCCTAGTGATGTAGGAAAACAGAGCAAAATCCAGCCTCGACTGCTCAGGGGGCGGGGGCCCAACACTAAAGAGGGGTTTAGGGTTTAGGGTTTAGGGTTTAGGGTTTAGGGTTTAGGGTTTAGGGTTTAGGGCCGGTCAACAGAGGGTTCAACATTGTTCAACAGTCAATAGCGAAACTCCTCACTTTTCCCGAAAGGCTCCCCGAACCTGTACCCTGAACAATTTTCTCAGTAGCTGAGTGGGCAGACTTTGCACTTCTTGGGATACTATAACCTCCTATAGAACTGAAAGTGTACACCGTTTTGGGGCTTATGAACTCAGCCCCTAAACCCTAAACCCTAAACCCTAAACCCTAAACCCCAAACCCTAAACCCTAAACCCTAAACCCTAAACCCTAAACCCTAAACCCTAAACCCTAAACCCTAAACCCCAAACCCTAAACCCTAAACCCTAAACCCTAAACCCTAAACCCGAAACCCGAAACCCGATTTCAGTATGATCCGAGCTCGGCGTCCGAAGCCCAGGACAAGATGTCTGTGACGAAGCTCGGCAGGTGGGTCGACAACCACCGCCGAGCCGGGGTCTTGCCATTCATGTGTTGGGGTTTGGGCTTTGGGGTTTAGGGTTTGGGGTTTAAGGTTTAGGGTTTGGGGCTTGGGGTTGAGGGGGTTAAGGGGGTTGAGGGGGTTGAGGGGGTTGAGGGGGTTGAGGGGGTTGAGGGGGTTGAGGGGGTTGAGGGGGTTGAGGGGGTTGAGGGGGTTGAGGGGGTTGAGGGGGTTGAGGGGGTTGAGGGGGTTGAGGGGGTTGAGGGGGTTGAGGGGGTTGAGGGGGTGAGGGTGTTGAGATGGTTGAGGGGGTTGAGGGGGGTTGAGGGGGGTTGAGGGGGTTGAGGGGGTTGAGGGGGGGGGCTTGGATTGGAGGCGGGGTTGGAGGGGTTGAGGGCTCAGAGCTTAGATCTCTTCTACAGACGTCACAACACAACAACACGAAGCAACCAACAACCACTCAGGTTTCTAGCTACCCTGTACACTATACAAGCTAGAAGACATCTATACATGGCTCAAGAAGGTTTCTACGTAGCCTTCTCCTAAGCCAGAGCACGACAGAACATAATGCATTTGCTACCTGCTGGCTCTCTAGCTACTGTACAAGTGGGCCCAAACTAGTTTGCACTGCAGACTGCAACTGTCTACGACTGACATGCTGGAGTATTTTCAACACTAAACCTTAAACCCTAAACCCTAAACCCTAAACCCCAAACCCTGAAAAGCCCAACGCCCTAACTCCTACATCCCAAAGTCCTAGACCCCCGAAATCGGCAGGCGCATCCCATCGCTGCATGGGCCCTAAACCCTAAACCCTAAAACCTAAACCCTAAACCCTAAACCCTAAACCCTAAACCCTAAACCCTAAACCCTAAACCCTAAACCTGAAAGCCCTGAGTCGCCCCGAAACCCTGAAAGCCCTAAGCGCCTAAGCCTCTGAACATCCCACGAAATGCAACCCTAAACCCCAAACCCTAAACCCCAAACCCCAAACCCCAAACCCCAAACCCTAAACCCTAAACCCTGAACCCCAAAATCCCCAAAACCCTTAAATCCCAGAAGAGGTGCTTCCAATTGCGGAGATCATGTTCGACTTCAACAATGGTGAGGAGCTCCTCCATTGGTTTTCCTCGCTTAGGGGCTGAGGGTTTTCGGGTTTAGGGTTTCGGGTTTGGGGTTTAGGTTTTAGGGTTTAGGGTTTGGGGTTTAGGATTTAGGGCTTGGGGTTTAGGGCTTGGGTTTGGGGGTTTGGGGTCTAGGAGTTTTAGGGTTTAGGGCTTGGGTTTTGGGGGTGTGGGGTTGAGGAGTTTTAGGGTTTAGGGGCTGGAGGGTTTTTGTGGTTTTAGGGTTTTAGGGTTTTAGAGTTTAGGCCTTGGGATGAGAGCCAGGATGCTTACCTGATAGGAGCATGCTTGAAATAGCGGCATCACACAGCCTACCCTACAAACAAAGGCACGCCCCAAGAGAATCCCAAGTCTAGCCCTAAACCCTAAGCCCTGAACCCTAAACCCTAAACCCCAAACCCCAAACCCTAAACCCTAAACCCCAAACCCTAAACCCTAAACCCCAAACCCCTCCAACGCCGGAGCCCTCTCAACCTGTGGTTTTATTTTCGGGAGTAGGCCCTTATTTCCTTTTTTTAGGGTTGGGGGTTTGGGGTTTGGGGTTTAGGGTTTAGGGTTTAGGGCTTAGGGCTTAGGGCTTAGGGTTCTAATCCCCTTAAAAAACAAAAAGAGTACCCGTGTTATTTCTAGGTTTCTCTGGGGTCTAGTGGTTCGGGGGTTGAGGGTTTATGGACTTCGGGTTTGGTAAGAGGGATCATGGGTTGAACAGGGCGTTTATTCAGGCTTCGTCTTTAGGCTTGAGGTCTGGGGCCTATATAAACCCTATAAACCCTAAACCCTAAACCATATACCCTAAACCCCAAACCCTAAACCCCAAACCCTAGACCCTAAACCTAAACCCAGGAGCTTCCGCGGTGCATCACGGTGGCGGGCGCCGAGCAGCGCACGCCGGCCGAGTGGGCGAAGAACGGCATGTGCCGGCGGAGCGGAAAGGCGGTTTCCTACTGAGCCTTGGCCAGGGTTTGGGGTTGAGGGTTTAAGGTTTAGGGTTTAGGGTTTAGGGCTTAGGGCTTAGGGTTTAGGGTTTAGGGTTTAGGGCTCAGGGTTTAGGGTTTAGGGTTTACGGTTTACGGGTTTACGGTTTCGGGCAAGTCTGTGCCTCGGGCATCTCCGTTGGCGAAGGCACAGGATCCGTTCATGATGAGGAAGATTTCGGCGGCCAAGGTGAAGAGGGTGGCAAGGGTGGAAAGGGTCAGAATCCCACAGTTTACAACATTGGGGCTGACAACATTCACCCGATCGACCAGAATGCGATGAAGTCAGTGAAGCAAATGGTGGAAATGTGGGATCAGCAGACTGCAACAGCCTCAGCCACTCAGAATCCCGGTGAGTCTGCAACGGCATCTGCTGGTATCCCTCCAGGTTCTACTGACGAAGCTGGTCTGGGCGATGCTCCCAAGCCCAAAGCTAAAGCTGCCGCCAAAGGAGCTGGGGACGCTGAGGAAGCTGAAGATATCGAAGACCCTAGGCCCCTCGAAGACCCCAAGCCCCTTGTCCACCCCCTAAACCGTACACCCTACACCCTTAAAGCCTAAAGCCTAAAGCCTAAAGCCCAAAGCCTAAAGCCTAAAGCCTACAGCCTAAAGCCTAAAGCCTAAAGCCTAAACCCTAAACCCTAAAGCCTAACGCCTAGCGCCTAAAGCCTAAAGCCCAAAGTGCAGGAGAGTCCAGGCCCTGCAGCCCGGAAGACCAAGATGACCCCCTAATCCCCTGAAGCTTCGCAGCCTTTAAGTCCTCATTGAGGATTTAGGGTTTAGGGTTTAGGGTTGAGGGTTTAGGGTTTAGGGTCTAGGGTGTAGGGCTAAGCCCTAGAAGCCTCATCCCCAAGGCACCGCGAGCATCCGCGCTGCTGAGGGGCAGCGGAATCGCCGTCGGGAGCGGGGCCCCAGCGGGCTTGGGGTTTAGGGTTTGGGGTTTAGGGTTTGGGGCTTAGGGTTTGGGGTTTACTCTTTGGTGTTCCCGAGCGTTGCTTACCGCTCGGTTTAGGGTTTGGGGTCTAGGGTTTCGGGTTTGGGGTTTAGGGTTTAGGGGGCCGCTTTGATTAGGCAGTTCTTGAATGCTGTTTCGAGATGCAGTCTTAGCTGCAAACCGTGGTGTCTGAAAGCTCATGCTTTCAGGGCTTCAGGCATGCTGGAGTGCTTTCAGTGCTTCAGGCATGCTGGAGAAAACCTGGGTGGAGGCTTCAAATGTCAGGTTTCTTGGCATGGGGAACCCTAAACCCTAAACACTAAACGCTAAACCTTAAATTACTAAACCCTAAATCCAGCTGTAAATCCTCAACCCTCAACCCTAAGCCCTGAACTAGACCCTGAACCCCAAAAAATACTAAACCCTAAGCCCTGAACCCTAAATTACTAAACCCTGAACACTAAACCCTAAATTAAATACTACCCGGGACTTTCTTTACCTACAGTTGTAGAAGTCATACCTGCTAACTAAGGGGTGGTTACTACAAAACTGTAGGTAAATAGAGTGCCAGGTAAGCCCAAAATTACTAAACCCTCAATCCTAAACCTAAACCGTCAACCCCAAACCCTAAAATGCTAAGCCCTAAACCCTAAACCCTAAACCCAAAACTCTAAACCCTAAACCCTAAACCCTAGACCCTAGACCCTAGACCCTAGACCCTAGACGCTAGACGCTAGACCCTAGACCCTAGACCCTAGACCCTAGACCCTAGACCCTAGACCCTAAACCTAAGCCCCGCGAGGCGCCCGGCAGTGGCTCCACAGGAGGCGGCGGGGGCGGCAGCAGCGGCAGCGGCGGCGGTTGGGGCGCGCCCGCCGAAAGTTTTTAGGGTTTAGTGTTTAGGGTTTAGGGTTTAGGGCCCCAAGGCTTGTGGGTTTAGGGGCTTCAGGGCGTTAGGCTTTGTTTGTTTTCTTTTCATTTCCTTGGTTTATTTTCCTCTTTGTTAGGGGTTTGTAGGTGCTTTAGCGTGTCTAGGGGCTTTAGCGCTTTTGGTGTTTTAGTTGTTTTTTTGTTTCGGCTTTTGAGGGTTTTTAGGGTTTCTAGGAGTTTCGTTGTTTTTAGGTTTTTGTTGGTACTGAACCTGTTTAGATCCAAGACCTCCGAAGCTGCAACCTTGAGAACGAAGCCCGGAGCCTAAACTGCAAATTTCACCTTAGGGTTTAGGGTTTAGGGGTTTAGGGGTTTAGGGTTTAGGGGTCTAGGGGTTTAGGGGTTTAGGGGTTTAGGGGTTTAGGGGTTTAGGGTTTAGGGGTTTAGGAGTTTAGGGGTTTAGGGGTTTAGGGGTTTAGGGGTTAGGGTTTAGGGGGGTTCAGATATCATGTAGTGATGGGGTTTATGGAAACGCAGAGTCTAGGAGCAGGGGGCTTTTGGGGTTCAGCGCTCGCGGTCCTCGAGGAGGAGCCTTTGGCAAGGGGTTTAGGGTTTAGGGTTTAGGGTTTAGGTTTAGGGTTGAGGGTTTAGGGTTTAGGGTTTAGGGTACCCCGTTGCCCCTAAAATAACGAGAGTGGCCCGGCAACCCGGCACGCCGGTAGCCTCTAAATGAGTTTACATTCGTCATACAGCCGTGATTAGCGATCACGTGACTAGCGCGTGATCGCGAATCGTGGGCTGTATCGCGGGCTATATCATGAAATCTTTTAAACAAGATTGCCGAACAAAGGGCTTACCGCAAAACTCTCATTATAAACTGCCTTAAACCCTAAGCCCAAAACCCAAAACCCAAAACCCTAAACCCTAAACCCAGTCCTTGTCCTGGGAACCCCCAAAAGAGCCACCCCTCAGTTTCGGAAGCCTGCAAAGACATCCGAATTACACACCTACCTTTACTTCCATTTTACAACCACATGTGCACGAACCAATACTACACAGCAACCAGCACCCAAACCCTAAACACTACAGTCTAAACCCTAAACCCTAAGCCCTAAGCCCTACGCCCTAAGCCCTAGGCCCCAAACCCAAACCCCAAACCCCAAACCCCAAACCCCAAACCTCAAACCCCAAACCCCAAACCCCAAACCCCAAACCCCAAACCCCAAACCCCAAACCCCCAAACCCCAAACCCCAAACCCCCAAACCCCAAACCCCAAACCCCAAACCCCAAACCCTAAACCCTAAACCCTAAACCCTAAACCCTAAACCCTAAACCCTAAACCCTCAACCCTAACCCTCATGTAGCCAGGTGGTGGCCGCGGTGGAGGTGGTGGCGGCTGGGGCGGGTGGAATGACTGGGACCATCGCTGGGGTGGTGGCTGGGGAGGCGCTGCGCCCGGCAGGGCGAACCCTAAACCCTAAACCCTAAACCCTAAACCTAAACCCTAAACCCTAAACCCTAAACCCTAAACCCTAAACCCTAAACCCTAAACCCTAAACCCTAAACCCTAAACCCTGGCTCCTTGCAAGGAACTGGCGGCAAAAAAGGTGGCAAGGGAAACCGGGATGGCGGCAAGGATGGGAGAGGCCAGGTTGGGGTGAACTGTCGGCTTGGGGGTGTGTAGGGTTTAGGGTTTAGGGTTCAGGGTTCAGGGTTTAGGGTTCAGGGTTTAGGGTTTAGGGTTTAGGGTTTAGGGTTTATGGTTTAGGGTTTAGGGTTTAGGGTTGAGGGTTGAGGGTTTAGGGTGAAGGGTTCAGGGTTTAGGGTTGAGGGTTTAGGGTGAAGGGTTCAGGGTTTAGGGGGTGCTGGGGTTGTGGGGGCTCGGGTTTTGGGGCTAAGGTTTAGGGTTTCAGGCTGCTGGGGTTTGGGGTTTGGGATTGACGGTTGGGCAGGGGGGGGGGGGGAGGGGGGAACTCGCGGCAAAAAACGTCACTAGAAAAACCCTAAGCTCTAACCCTCCGGTATCCTTCGCAAGTTCCTTCTCCCGCTGCTGCTTTACGGAGCCAAGTATCAGAAGTTGGTACCCTACTGCTAGGTATTCCGCAAGAACTTTGACAACACATTCCTGTTGACGCGACACGCGCGACAAACCCTAAACCCTAAACCCTAAACCCTAAACCCTAAACCCTAAACCCTAAACCCTAAACCCCAAACCCCAAACCCCAAACCCTAAACCCTAAACTCGACATCCTCAGCCCCGACCAGAGCCCCAAGCCCCTAAGCCCTAAACCCTGAACACCAGATTGTAGACTCGGGCAGAAAAGCCGCCAGCAGCCTGTGTCCCAATTCGAAGCTCGTTTAGTGAAGCACCTTAGCCTTACACCTAATCCTCCCCCTAAACCCCCCCTACCCCCTAATATGAAAAGCCCCCAATATACCATAATATAACTTTAATGGGGGTAGTTAATATTACGGGGTAGGGGCGGGGGGGCATATTCACCCCCGCTTTTCGACCAGTCTGCCCAAAGGGGACGCACCCCGGCAAGGGGTCCTCAAGGGCTCCTGGACCAGACGCACCCTAAACCCTAACCCCTAAAGCCTAAATCCTAGACCCTCTCCACCCTAAACCCTGAACCCCAAAACCCTAAACCCTAAACCCTAAGCCCTAAACCCTAACAAAACCGTAAAGCGTAAGCCCTAAACCCTAAACCCTAAACCCTAAACCCTAAACCCTAAACCCCAAACCCCAAACCCCAAACCCCAAACCCCAAACCCCAAACCCTAAACCGTAAACCCTAAACCCTAAACCCTAAACCCTAACCTTTAGAATGCCTTAGCTTGGGTCTAGTAAATGCACCCCGGGCTCGTGCTTGAATAGTACCGGACCTATCGGGCGCTCCGGACATCAGATCGGGATACGGGGCCTCACCCCGAAGCACTACCGGGGTTTAGGGTTGAGGGTCTAGGGCTTAGTTTAGGGGAGAGGGTTTAGGGTTTAGGGTTGAGGGTTGAGGGTTTAGAGTTTAGGGTTTAGGGCTTAGGGCTTCTTCCCCGTTCTGCCCCTCAATGCCGAGCGCCTTATCGACACACTCCTGGCGAGGACATCATCCTTATGGTCGGAATCACGGCAGTGAAGGCCGATGACAAGTGTTGATGTCCACTACAGCGTGCTTTTCTGACAACGCTACCTCTACCTTCAAGTACCCCAAACCCCCCCCCCCCCCCGTTCCCAAACTGTTTCAGGGATTCGGGTGACTCGCAGATAATGAAAGGTTGTATACCAAATTGAAAGCTCTTTCGGGAGGTCCTGCAAGGGTTTACCAAGATTCAGAGGTTCAGGGTTTGAAGGGGCTTGCAAGGCATTATCAGGGTTTAGAAGGGCCGGCGGGCAGGACAACACGGACAGAATTAATGTTTCCAATCAAGCCCTGAGATCCATGGCCCAAGCCCGTAAACCCTCTAAACCCTCTAAACCTTCCAGACCCCAAACCTAAACCTTCTAAACCCCAAGCACCCCAAAGCCTTCCAAACCCCAAACCGGGAAAACCCGGAACCCCAAAACCCAAAACCTTCTTAACCCCAAGCACCCTCAGCCTTCTAAACCCCCAAAACCCTAATCTGCGAATTGCTTAAGAACCCACCCCCCCCAAAAAAAAAAAAAAAGATAGAGAAACACATGAAGATATTCTTCCTTATCAGGAAAATATAGGAAAATAAGTTTCTATTTCTTGGGGGTTCTTAAGAAAACAGTAGTAATCCTTCTAAACCCCAAAACCCCTAAACCTTGTAAGCCCCGAAACCCTAAGACCCTAAACCCTAAACCCTAAACCCTAAACCCTAAACCCTAAACCCTAAACCCTAAACCCTAAACCCTAAACCCTAAACCCTAAACCCTAAACCCTTGAGAGGCGGCCGCCGTTCCTTCGGAGGCCGGGCTGGCGGCACTCGATTGGGGACTACTGGTACTTTGGGTTGGGAGAAGGTTTAGGGTTCAAGGTTTGGGGTTTAGTTTAGGGGTTTTGGGCTTAGGGCTCAGAAGGCTTTAGGTTTAGGGTTAGGTACATGCTCAGCAGTGTGGTTTTGCGGTTTTAGGGCGTAGGTTTAGGATTCGGGGCTAAGGTTTGGGGTTGTCGAAAGTTCAGAAGGTTCAGAAGGTTAGAAGGTGTAAAGGGTTTAGAAGGTGAACAAATTCCAATAGTATCCTCTTATCATCCTTACTCTTTGTATTTCCTTTCCAACGGTCATAACACAGAAAAGTACCCACATTGCCTGTAATCATGAAAAGGCAATGTGATGACTAGCAAGTACGTACAAATGCATCTGAAGCGTCTTCAGACAATGTTAAGTGGCTGAAGTTTGCCCCTGCTGGAGTTCAAATGGGTTTAGGGTTGGGATGTTCCCCCTTGTACTAACACTCCTTAATAGGGATTGTAGTACCCCCTTAATCCTTATTAAAGACTGTTAGTATCAGGGGGGGACCGCCACCGGCTTTGGTTTATCCTCAGAACGCAGTAATGAACGGCGCTCCTGACTCGATCAACATTAATGCAGTTGTTGAGTCGCTGAACTGGCACGCGCTAGACTAGGTCTGAAGCCTTGGCGGAGTACGGACAGTGGTTACAATGCAGGTGAAGTTTTGCTTTGTACCACACTCAGTGCCCTCGGTCAACAGGGGATGGTTCAGTTGGGCTCTGGAGGACGTGAGATACTCACAGAAGCGCGTGCAGAAATGAAGACCATTCTGAATACGTTGCTTCCCAAATCCTGAACCCCCATAACCCTATAAACCCCAAACCCTTCTGTCTTACGGTAGTTACATGGTCCCTCAGTATGAGAGGAGACCCCTTACATACCCTTACATACGCTCTACAAGCCAAGGGCCCACACTCCAGAACCCTGTAGAGGAGGTAACGGACCATGTTAAGGGTCTGTTGGATTCTCACAAAACCTTAAACCCTAAACCCTAAACCCTAAACCTTAAACCCTACACCCTAAACCCTAAGCCCTTCTGACAGGCACCAAGGAGGAGTTCTTGGACATTATCAAGCAACATGCCAAGGGCAAGTTCCAGTTCTACGAGACGCCGCTGGCTCTGCAGCCTATTCAGGTTTAGGGTTTAGGATTTAGGGTTTAGGGTCTAGGCTTCATATTCACGCATGTAAGAGTTCCACCCCGAAAGCTCTGCTTTCCCATTGTTTTGAGTTCGCAATGAGAGCTGCCGAGAACACCTCTCAATCTGAAATGTTCTGTGCAAAATCCTGCGCCGAAACCCTAGCCCTCACACTTCGAAGGCTAATTTCCTGCTCTAGATCCGAATCTGCATCCGACACATCCACAGTACCACTGTGCGAGCAGGCTCTTTCTAAGCCCATGGGTCCCCAGGGTGGGTTTAGGGTTTGGGGTTTGGGGTTTAGGGTTTCGGGTTTAGGGTTTTGTGGGCAGGCGACGGGCAGGGGAGGGTGGGTGGGGGGGGGGGGGGTGGTGGGAAACCCTAAACCCTAAACCCTAAACCCTAAACCCTAAACCCTAAACCCTAAACCCTAAACCCTAAACCCTAAACCCCAAACCCTAATGTAGCTTCAAGCACCAGATCCCGGGCCGAGGCAAACGATCCAAGGCGGGGTGCAGGTCCGGTTCGGCAAGAGCCTGGGCTTTGAAGTAGGGTTTACGGTTTAAGGTTTGGTGTTTAGGGTTTAGGGTTAGGGTTTGGGGTTTAGGGTTTGGGGTTTGGAGCTTAGGGTTTAGGGTTTTGGGGTTTTATTGCAAATAGTATTACCTCATGACCCCCTATATGTCTGTACCATGACAACCCCCAGACCCTTATTCTAATTATTAGGGCCCCTATATGTGTCTTCAGTTTATTTTTTTTCGACTTGGGCTTCTGGGTTTAGGGTTTAGGGTTGAGGGTTTGGGGAAGTTTTGATGCTACACCTAGTCTGTATTTTTCTTTATCTGCAGAGGTGTCTGAAAAAGCTTAGGAATGGGACAATCGACTTCATGTCGGAGGCATCGAAGGTGCGTGCCCCCTTGAAAAAGGTTTGGGTTTGCAGGGTTTCAGGTTTGAACCCTATAAAGCCTCAACCTGAATCCTAAACCGGTAAGCCTTTTGTCTAACAACCAGGGGGGGACAAAGCCTAATTAAACCCTAAACCCTCAACCCGATCGTGTTTAGGGTGCGGGACACCATGCAGAAGAGTTGACGACCTCGGAACGGATCCACTCTAAACTCCCTAACCCCCTAAGCCCTAAGCCCTAGAACCTGTCCCAAGACGTACCTGTAATACCTTGATTCCTTTCTTTTTTCTCCTGAAGATCACTCACCCCAAACCCCTTTTTGAAAACCTCTTCCTCTTGCGGTATACTGGGGACCCCTTTAGCGCCCTCTAAGCTCTGCTGGTGGGACATGCAAGAAAACATAAACCCTAAACCTATCAAAGCCCAAGCCCTCTTGAACTTTGTTTAGGGTTTAGGGCTTCAGAGATGAGGGATTCAGGGGGGGGGGGGTTTTGGGCAAAAGTTTCTCCAGGCTCCTGCAAGCGGACCCTAAAACCGTAAACCCTCAACCCTCAACACGACGTCTTGGGGGCTTATACGACAGTAGGGGCACCCTTTTTGGGGGGTTCCTAGTATAAGGATGATACCATTTGGGGTGAAATTAAGGGTAACCCTGTTTGGGGAAATGCCCTCTTCTGAACCTAAACCCTAAACCCTAAACCCTAAACCCTAAACCCTAAACCCTAAACCCTAAACCCTAAACCCTAAACCCCAAACCCTAAACCCTAAACCCCTATTTGGGGAAATGCCCTCGTCCGAACCTCAAGAGTTCTGAGTGGTCTCGATCAGCTCCAAATTCTGAGGCCAAACGAGCCTGGGGCTTGGTGCAAACCGCAAACCCTAAACCCTAAACCCTAAGCCCTAAACCCTAGACCCCAAACCCTAAACCCTAAACCCTAAACCCTAAACCCTAAACCCTAAACCCTAAACCCTAAACCCTCCTGGCAGGCGGTCGTTCTACGAGGAACTGAATGGCAACAGCAAGGTCTTCTGCCCATCATCAGCGGCTGGACCCAAGCCGGATGAGCCAGGAAGTTAGGTTTAGGGTGCAGGGTTTAGGGTTTAGGGTTTAGGGTTTAGGGTTTAGGGTTTAGGGTTTAGGGTTTAGGGTTTAGGGTTTAGCGGTTCAGGTTTGAGGTTGCGTGAGGCCTCAGGGTGTCAGGGTCTTAGGGTCTTGGGGTTTCAGGGTTTAGGGCTGAGGGTCTTAAGGGTCTCAGGGTCTGAGGGTCTTCGGGTCTCAGTGTTTAGGGCTGAGGGTCTCAGGGTCTGAGGGTCTGAGGGTCTTCGGGTCTCAGGGTTTAGGGCTGAGCGTCTTAGGGTCTCAGGGCCTTAGGGTCTTAGGGTCTCAGGGTCTCAGGGTCCTAGGGTCTTAGGGCTGAGGGTCTACAGTTCAGGGCCGGAGCCCCGAACTGTAGATCCGCGCCCTAAGCCGGCAATCGCTTGCCCTTTGCAACGCCTCGGACTGCTGGGCTTGAAGCCCTAGTTCCCCGGTAGACCCCATTGCTTGGAGTTTAGGGTTTAGGGTTTAGGGTTTAGGGGTATAGGGGTATAGTGGTATAGGGGTATAGGGGTTTAGTGTTTGCCCAGAGGTACCCTTTCCCTTTTTTGGTTCAAGGTTCCCTTCTACAGTGGCCAACCCTAAGAAAGGGCACCCATATTACAACATAACGCCTTAAGCCCTAAACTCGGCAGTTTGACTTAGAGGTGCTTAAGAGGGCATGAGGGAACTGGGCACCTTAGTTCCCCCTGCAACCCAAGGGGTCCATGTACCTACGTGGTCGGTACTTGGGCCTAAAAGGGGTTCCTCTATAGTAGCTCTTCGTGCCCAAGTATATACTCCATAGGTGCTTGCCCCCGAAGGTCGATGATGCCCCCTAAACCCTAAACCTTAAACCCTAAACCCTAGACCCTAAACCCTAGACCCTAGACCCTAGACCCTAGACCCTAAACCCTAAACCCTGAACCCTGAACCCTGAGCCCTAAACCCTAAACCTTGAACCCTCATACCCGTTCTCCCTTGAGGGAGATGGAGCCCAAGCGCAGTGCGAAGCGGCGCATGTGTCACCCTCTGCTGTAGCACTGTTGCCAGGAACCGATTTCCTGACGATAACGGCCGAAAGGGCGCCGGAGCTTAGATCAGAGAGGCCCTCTCACCTTTTTTTTGGGGCCAACCGGGGGTTTACGAAAACCAGGGGCCCCCCTTATAATCAGGACCCCAAGAAGGTACCCCTAAACCCGAAACCCTAAACCCCAAAACCCAAAACCCAAAACCCAAAACCCTAAACCCTAAACCCTAAACCCTAAACCCTAAACCCTAAATTACCTATTTCGGAAACCCCCCCTTACAACAGCGTGTTGCGAATCTGACTCGTGCCACTGATGGGGTCGTCGGAGCTGCCCCCATTGCCCGAGCACAAGCGCAGTGCCGAGGATGCCCAGTCCTGCAAGGGTCCACAAGGCTTCCAAGGATCTCTCAAACCCTAAACCCTAAACCCTAAACCCTAAACCCTAAACCCCTAAACCCTAAACCCTAAACCCTCAACCCTAAACCCTAAACCCTAAACCCTAAACCCTAAACCCAAAACCCTAAACCCTAAACCCTAATCTTCCCCCCCCCCTCCCCCCGGAATGCCCAAGACACCCTGAAGTGTTTCTTTTGCTCTTCAGCATGCGGTTCCCTAAGCCCTCAACCCCAAAAACCCAAACCCCAAACCCTAAACCCCAAACCCTAAACCCTAAACCCTAAACCCTAAACCCTACCAATGCCACTGCAGTTGGGCTGCCAGTGCAGGGTGCGGATCCCCCAAAACCCCAAAACCCAAAACCCTGGAGAAGGCCACAAGCGGGGGAAGGGTTTAGGGTTTAGGGTTTGGGGTTTAGGGTTTAGGGTTTAGGGTTTGGGGTTTAGGGTTTAGGGTTTGGGGTTTAGGGTTTAGGGTTTAGGGTTTAGGGTTTTGGGGTTTGGGGTTTAGGGTTTGGGGTTTAGGGTTTTTCGGGTTTTTCGGGTTTCGGGTTTCACACCCCAGTCCTGAACCCGAGAGCCTTTGACTCCATATCCCTCAGCGCTACTTGAACCCCAAAGCCTCGAACTCAATTAGGGCTTAGGGTTTAGGGGTTTAGGGTTTAGGGTTAAGGGTTTAGGGTTTAGGGTTTAGTCCTCAAAGCAACAACCTTAGCTCTTGCACGCTCAAGCCTGCCTAAGTCTGGGCACTTCCTAACATCGAGGTACGCCCCAACCCCTCCGCCGCCCTCCAAAAACAGCCACCCTAAACCCTAAACCCTAAACCCTAAACCCTAAACCCTAAACCCTAAACCCTAAACCCTAAACCCTAAACCCTAAACCCTAAACCCTAAACCCAAAACCCTAAACCTAAACCCTAACCCCTAAACCTAAACCCTAAACCCTAAACCCTAAACCCCTAAACCCCTAAACCCCTAAACCCCTAAACCCCTAAACCCTAAACCCTAAACCCTAAACCCCAAACCCCACACCGGAACCCTCATCGTTCGGAAGCCACCACAAGTGTCTTGGACCCTTGGGGGGAAGCGCTGATCATCGGAGGAGCGGTTCGGACAAAAACAGTGGCCGAGTGTTGAGAGTCACCGTTCAAAACCCTGAACCGTTAACCTACAAACCCGAACCCCCAAACTCCAAATTTTAACTCTCAACTCCAAACCCTAAAGCCTGAACCCCAAACCGTAAGCCCTAAACCCTAAAAGCCCTGAACCCTAAACGCCTCTTGATGCCATACCCTAAACCTACAGGCCCCCGAAAATCCAGAACCCCGCCGCCAAACAATAAGATGTCCCAAACCTACAAACCCAAAACGTCGAAGAGTACCTCAAACCCAACGTACTAATGGCCTACCCGTAGGCAATATGAGAAATGCACAGAACTAACCCGAGCCTGAGAATACCCATGACCTCAACCCGAAAAACCCTAAACCCTAATCCCTACTCCCATAAAGCCCCGTGCAACTCTCTTTTCGCGTTTGGGTTTAGCCCTAACCGCTGTGCCATACAAGGCCCCCCTCATCCAAAAGGGTGCCTTTCGCGGCTTGTGCTTGGAGTTTCATGGGTACTTAGAACCCTACTTGTAAGTCTACTGGTATCCTACTTAGGGCCTGCTAGAAATAGGGGTTCTAAGTACCCATGAACCTCCAAGTGGGGCCCAGGGTTTAGGGTTTAGGGTTTAGGGGTTTAGGGTGATGGGTGCACCACGTTCCTCTCAAAATGCACGCAGCATTTTTCAGCACCGCACCACTCGACCGGCTTGTGCAGATCTTCCTTGGACGTCATGTCGTTCCTCGGATACGCAGCCAATATCTAGGAAACCCTAAATTACTAAACCCGAAACCCGAAACCCTAAACCCTAAACCCGAAACCCGAAGCCCTAAACCCTAAAGCCTAAACCCTAAACCCTAAACCCTAAACCCCAAACCCCTACACCCTAAACCCTAAACCCTAAACCCTAAACCCTACACCCTAAGCTCTGAATCTCAGATCTTCGAGCCCTAAACCTTGCACCCTGCCAGGATGGGCTATTATGCCATAGGGTTTGGGGTGAAGGGTTTAGGGTTTAGGGTTTGGGGATTATAAGGCCTAACAGCCCATCCCGGTGAGTCCCTAGAACTTCAAGCGTCCCAGACGCTGTAGCCCCGAAACTCGGGTTTAGGGTTTAGGGTTTAGCGTTTAGGGTTTAGGGTTTAGGTTTAGGGTTTAGGGTTTAGGGTTGAACGCAAAGCCTGCAGCCCACTTCGGCCGCTCCAGAATGCCGAGCGCCCCCGCATCAATCCTAAAGTCCAAGCCCTGAACCATACATGCTAAAACAAAAAAAGAACCATAAATGCCAAAACAAAAGAAGGAACCATTAATGCTAAAACAAAAAACAGAACCATAAATGTTAGCCCCTGCATCCTCAGCCTGCAAGAGGGTCCCTGACTTAGGGGCCAGGTGGGTCTAGGGTTTTGGGTTGCTACAGGGTTGCTGAAGCAGGCCGGTAGAGGGCATTAGGGTTGGAAAGATTACTAGTAGTATTCCCTTATGGTCCTTTTGTAGCTATACTAGAATCCCCCGTTTAGGACTTAGGGCTTACGTTACAGGGTTAGGGTATTGGGTTTAGGTATCTACGCACGGGCCGATGAAGTTAGGCAGCCTCGATCAAAATTTAAATGGGTATTCCCCCAAAATAATATAGCGGTCGGAATAATTACTAATAGTGTTCCCTTATGGTCCATTTACTGTATATACATATGGTAATAACCCCAAAAACCCTTTTCTAATGATTAAGGTCCCCTTTTTTAAGGGGTACCCCGTTTATACCCCAAAATAGAATGGAACCCCTTAAAGGGAACTCCCAACAGGGTACCCGTATTTTCGGAAGCCACCAAATGGCACATTGGTATGTCAAGGGCAGTTTGCTTGATTGCTTTGTTTATTCACTCGCGCATGTGCGTGGTATTCCAGATTGAGGACACAAAGAAGAGGGACCAGTGCAAGCTCCTGAACCCCTCAGCCCCTAACCCCTAAAGCCTAAACCCTAAACCCTAAACCCTACACCCTAAACCCTAAACCCTAAACCCTAAACCCTACACGCTACAAGGGCTTTTCAGAATCCGAGGAGCCCGACCTCCCGCAATGCCAACGTGGACTACGAGGGACTGGGTCACAAGAGCCAGGCACGAAGCTAGGGATCTTTAAGGGCTTTAGGGTCTTCGGGTTGGCTAGGATTTTTTGAAGGGCTTTCGGTTAGTTTTTTTTTTTTGGGGGGGGGGGGGGGGGGGGTTGGGGGTGGGGGTTGGGGGTCTTTATTTGGGCTTTGGGTTTTAGGGGGTTGGTGGTTGTAGGATCTAGGGGTCTGGGATGCCGACCCAAGAGGCCGCAAACCACAAAGAGCCAACCATTGAGCTCAGCTTGAACCCTAAACAGTCACCAACCCTCAAACCCTCAAACCCTCAAACCCTCAAACCCTCAAACCCTCAAACCCTCAAACCCTCAAACCTCAAACCCTCAAACCCTCAAACCCTCAAACCCTCAAACCTTCACCCCTAAACCCTAAACCCTAAACCCTAAACCCTAAACCCTAAACCCTAAACCCTAAACCCTAACCCTAAACCCTAAACCCTAAACCCTAAACCCTAAACCCTAAACCCTAAACCCTAAACCCTAAACCCTAAACCCTAAACCCTAAACCCTAAACCCTAAACCCTAAACCCTAAACCCTAACCCCAAACCCTCAACAACCCTAAACCGCAGACCAAAAAAACTCTCCCACTACCCATCTTGTCGAAAAACCCTTACCGTCCTGAACTAGAAAGCCCACAGCCTCAAGCCTGTAGCCCCAGACCCAGATCTACCCCAAGCCCTAAACCCTAAACCCTAAACTAAACCCTAAACCCTAGGCCCTAAACCCTAGACCCTTGGCCCTCTTAAACACGGACCTTATTCAGAGGGTCTATATCCTCAAGGGTCCCCCTTATCCTATCCCTAAACCCTAAACCCTAAACCCTAAACCCTAAACCCTAAACCCTAAACCCTAAACCCTAAACCCTAAACCCTAAACCCTAAACCCTAAACCCTAAACCCTAAACCCGACACCCGAAACCCTAAACCCTAAACCCTAAACCCTAAACCCTAAATCCCCTACAAACGAAGGCACGTCCCGAAGGAAGCGCGTCCCGCAAGTGGCGCCTCGGCCGGGGAGTTCCCCAGGACTCTGAGGGTGTGTAGGATTTAGGGTTTAGGGTTTAGGGTGTAGGGTTTAAGGTTTAGGGTTTAGGGTGTAGGGTGTAGGGTGTAGGGCTTAGGGTTCGGGGGTTTACGGGATTTTCGGGCTTTAGGGCTGAGAGTTTGTTGAGCAAGGCCTGTAGCAGTCGGCTGCCAATCTCTCCGAACCCTAAAGCCAAAAACCCTAAGCTGCAGAGCGTTGTCCCTTTAGCTAAAAAGTGTTCCCTGGGTTCCTCTTGCGGCTTCCCGGCTAATTATGTGCTGTGATCCTTATTCTAAGAGCCACCAGAATCATGGGTTCCTCTACTACCCGCCTCTATACTACCCCCTGGTTCCCCCCTAATTAGGGCTATTTAGGGATGGTTAAGCCTACTTGAAGTTATATGTATCAGGGGGGCAGGGGGAACCTAGGGTTGGTAGGAAAGAGGGGGGTAGTAGGGGAACCCACAACAACAACACGAAAAGGGCATCCAGAGGTACTTCTTGGGCGCCGGCCTGGCTTTGCTGGGCGTGGCCGGGGTGGCAGCCAAGGTGGGGCGCGCGTCTGCGGTTTTTGGAGATATAGGGTTTCCCAAAGAGCCTAATATCCCTTAACTAGGGAATATTGCTTATTTGTAGAAGGATCCTTAATAAATTTCAGTTATATTCCTTAATTAAGGGGTATTGGGTCTTTGGGAATTGTGAACCCAGAATTCCCTAGACGCTCAAATCCCTGAAGTCCTAGACCCTTAGACCCCTCAGCCCAGTAAAACCCAAAACCCAGAACACCTAAACCCTAAACCCTGAACCCTAAACCCTAAACCCTCAACCCTAAACCCCAAACCCTAAACTTTAAACCCGAAACCCTAAACCCTAAACCCTAAAACCTGAACCCTCGGGTTCAGGGACTGGGGGTCTAAGGTCTAGGGTTTCAGGTTCAGGGTTCCGGTTTCCTAGAACGTAGCGCCATGCGCAAGGAGACCCTTCTGTAGGTCTCCATCACTATCGTTCCCCCTTGTAGAAGTAAATGCTTGGTGTATATAAAGTCCCCCCAAAATAAATGTTTGTGGTTCTAGTTCTAATGGCGAGTATACATCAGAGTACGGAACACCCCAACCCTAGACCCCAAGCCCTAAACCCTAAAACCTGAAATTTCTCGCTTCTGTAGGTCCGCCGAAACCCCAAACCCCAAACCCCAAACCCCAAACCCCAAACCCCAAACCCCAAACCCCAAACCCCAAACCCCAAACCCCAAACCCCAAACCCCAAACCCCAAACCCCAACCCCAAACCCCCAACCCCAAACCCCAAACCCCAAACCCCAAACCCCAAACCCCAAACCCCAAACCCCAAACCCCAAACCCCAAACCCCAAACCCCAAACCCCAAACCCTAAACCCTAAACCCGAAAGGTGGTGGCCCGCCCTTCCGGTGCCTTGTTTTCCTCGACGCCTGGGCCGTCCCAGAGGTTGATGTTGGGGTTTAGGGTTTTTGGGTTTTGGGTTTAGGGTTAGGGTTTAGGGTTTAGGGTTTGGGGTGTAGGGTTTAGGGTTGGTTCTTGATGGATCTAGGGGTGTTCTAGGTGCTACAAGGAGGTCGAGGGGTTTAGGGTATCTGTTTGGGGTTCAACCAAAAAAGGCACCCTTTGTATTCCTAGCCGACTCCTGGGTCTAGTATAATTTTATGACTGAACAAGAAGCCCTAAACTCGAGGCTGAAACAACTTTTGATCCTGGCTGTTCTTTCAGTCAGGCATTTTTTAACCTTATTATTATTATTATTATTATTACTATGTTATAACTTAACTGTGACTGTACAGTTCATATACCTGGCGGGTTTAGGGTTTGGGGACCCAGGGTTTAGGGTTTAGGGTTTCGGGTTTAGGGTTTAGGGTTTAGGGTTTAGGGTTTAGGGTTTAGGGTTTAGGGTTTAGGGTTTAGGGTTTAGGGTTTAGGGTTTAGGGACCTTAAGTCCTGAGGGTCATCGAGTTCCAAAAAAGCCCGTGGCTCTGAGGGTTCTCCTTTGCCTCCCCAAGGGTTTGAGCTGTGGGTTTGGGGGTTTGGGGTTTGGGGTTAGGGGTTTGGGGTTTGGGGTTTGGGGTTTGGGGTTTGGGGTTTGGGTTTGGGGGTTTGGGGTTTGGGGTTAGGGTTAGGGATTGCTAGGGTGTTGGAGTTTGGGTCGGGGCTTTAGCGCAAAAACGCCTTGGGGTTCGCCAGGTGTAGGCCTAAGGTGTTCTGGCCTACAATCGGGTTTAGGGTTTGGGGTTTAGGGTTTAGGGTTTAGGGTTTAGGCTTTGTGGGGTTGTTTGGAGTTTAGGGTTTAGGGAGTTGAGGGCTTGAGCGGGGATTGAGGCGTTGCCGCGAGGACTTGTTGAACGAGGGGAAGGAGGTGGACGAAGTCAAAAATGCGCAACACATACAACTCCCTGAGCCCCAGGGCCTAAACCCTAAACCCTAAGCCTGAAAGCCTGAAGCCAGAAACCTAAACCCTAAACCCTAAACCCTAAACCCTAAACCCTAAACCCTAAACCCTAAACCCTAAACCCTAAACCCTAAACCCTAAACCCTAAACCCTAAACCCTAAACCCTATCCCCTATACCCTAAGCCTTGAGTACAGCTGCAGTGGGCCCATGGTGTCCAGCAGCCCCAAGCAGAGCCAGAAACCTGAACCCTGAACCCTGAACCCTAAACCCTAATAAACCCTAAACCCTAAACCCTAAACCCTAAACCCTAAACCCCAAACCCTAAACCCTAAACCCTAAACCCCCACAGCCTAGGAGTGCCACGACGGGCGGCGAGATTCAGAATTGGGAGGTGCCCAGTTGGCGTGCTCTTGGGTACACCTGCCTCAGGGTTAACGGCTAAGGGCTCCCAACCCTAAACCCTAAACCCCAAACCCTAAACCCTAAACCCCAAACCCCAAACCCTAAACCCCAAACCCCAAACCCTAAACTCCAAGCCCTAAACCCTAAACACCAAACCCGAAGCCTCCCTGCGGAAGGAGCTGCCTGGGATGGACAAGGTCATCCGCAAGGCACAGAGCATCTTGGCCCGCGAGAGGTAGCCCCAGAAGCCCCAGAAGCCCTAGGGTTTAGGGTTTAGGGTTTAGGGTTTAGGGTTTAGGGTTAGGTTTCAGGTTTAGGGTTTGTTGTAGGAAGGCGGGCAGTATCCTGGGATGTACGCCCAAATTCAACTGCACAAGACACAAGGTTGAGGGTTTTCAACCACCGCCCCACGCCCATGCTCCCATGATAGTTCTATTATAGCATATGGGGTAGGTGGGGGGCTTAATATTAGGGGAGGGATTCAAGGTTCTTTAGTTGTCCAGCATCCTAGAAAGTTAAAAGTTAACCTTTGACATGATATAGGGATTACAACTCACCAAACAGTAAAGGTTGCCCACTCTACTACTAAGGTTTTATGGTCTCGCAACCACCTGCCCCCCCCCGGGTTGCTAGTAGGGAATGAGGGAATTCGGCACCTTATCCCCAAATTGTATTCCCTTTGAGGGGTTTTCTCCTGATTCTCTCATTTCCTACTAAGAACCAGTGAGTAAACCCTAAACCCCAAACCCTGAACCCTAAACCCTAAACCCTAAACCCTAAACCCTAAACCCCAAACCCTAAACCCTAAACCCTAAGCCCTAAACCCTAAGCCCTAAACCCTAAACCCTAAACCCCTAACCCCTAACCCCTAACCCCAACCCCTAACCCCTAAACCCTAAACCCTCAACCCTAAACCCTACACCCTAAACCCTAAACGCCCTAAACCCTAAACCCTAAACCCTAAACCCTAAACCCTAAACCCTAAACCCTAAACCCTAAACCCTAAACCCTAAGCCCTAAACCCTAAGCCCTAAACCCTAAGCCCTGGACCGCCCTCCGCACTGAAGTCTCAAAACCCCCATGCCCGAGAGAAGCCGACCCTGAAGCCGCTCCCGAGGCTTGAAGCCCGCGCACCCGCTGCGGAACCTGCCCCTTGCAAGGTTTAGGGTTTAGGGTTTAGGGTTCAGGGTCTAGGGTTTAGGGTTTAGGGTTTGGGGTGTAGGGTTTAGGGTTTAGGGTTTAGGGTTCAGCAGCTCCGGGTCGAGCAATCTCTAGTAGAGCCGCTGTTTGGGCTCTCGAAAAAAACCCACCCACCCAGAGAATCCCAACACATTTAGAAATATAAAGTTTACATTTTTCATCAGCAAGCTCTGTCCTCCAACCCTTAGCCACGAAGAAAATGACCCTTAGCCACGAAGGAAATGACCCTTAGCCACGAAGAAATGACCCTTAGCCACGAAGAAATGACCCTTAGCCACGAAGGAAATGACCCTTAGCCACGAAGAAATGACCCTAGCCACGAAGAAATGACCCTTAGCCACGAAGAAATGACCCTTAGCCACGAAGAAATGGCTCTTAGCCACGAAGAAATGACCCTTAGCCACGAAGAAATGACCCTTAGCCACGAAGAAATGACCCTTAGCCACGAAGAAATGACCTCTAGCCACGAAGAAATGACCCTAGCCACGAAGAAATGACCCTTAGCCACGAAGAAATGGCCCTTAGCCACGAAGAAATGGCCCTTAGCCACGAAGAAATGGCTCTTAGCCACGAAGAAATGACCCTTAGCCACGAAGAAATGACCCTTAGCCACGAAGAAATGATCCTTAGCCACGAAGGAAATGACCCTTAGCCACGAAGGAAATGACCCTTAGCGAAGAAATGACCCTTAGCCACGAAGAAATGACCCTAGCCACGAAGAAATGACCCTTAGCCACGAAGAAATGACCCTTAGCCACGAAGAAATGGCTCTTAGCCACGGAGAAATGACCCTTAGCCACGAAGAAATGACCCTTAGCCACGAAGAAATGACCCTTAGCCACGAAGAAATGGCTCTTAGCCACGAAGAAATGACCCTTAGCCACGAAGAAATGGCCCTTAGCCACGAAGAAATGGCTCTTAGCCACGAAGAAATGACCCTTAGCCACGAAGAAATGACCCGTAGCCACGAAGAAATGATCCTTAGCCACGAAGCAAATGACCCTTAGCCACGAAGGAAATGACCCTTAGCGAAGAAATGACCCTTAGCCACGAAGAAATGGCCCTTAGCAGCCAGGAAATGGCCCTTAGCGACCAAGAAATGGCCCTTAGCGACGAAGAAATGGCCCTTAGCGAAGAAATTGCCCTTAGCCACGAAGAAATGGCCCTTAGCCACGAAGAAATGACCCTTAGCCACGAAGAAATGACCCTTAGCCACGAAGACATGACCCTTAGCCACGAAGGTGTATAGGGTTTAAATATATATGTGATAGAGAGGTTTAGGGTTTAGGGTTTAGGGTTTAGGGTTTAGGGTTTAGGGTTTAGGGTTTAGGGTTTAGGGTTTAGGGTTTGCTAAACCCTAAACGGTGAACCTTCACCCGTGAACTTCGTTCGTTGGAGGCCAGGATGGTCTTGCAGGGTTTCGGGGTTTCAGGGGCAACCTAAAGCAGAAGTTTCAACTGCAGGGAGCCAGAGACGTCCTCGTTTTATAGGGGGTTGAACAGGGACGGAGAGTCCTGCAACACTGCCTCGGCCCGAAACCCTGAACCCTAAACCCCAAACCCCCAACCCTCATCCCTCAACCGTTTAAGGGTTTGGGCTTTAGGTTTAGGGCTTGGGTTTAGGGTTTTAGTGAGTCCACTTAGCATCCACCAGTAGCCTATTATCATCTTCATAACCCACCTACTGCCCCTACTTACGAGGTCAACAGGGCTTCCAAGTAAGGGTGTAGTGTTGGTGGAAAAATCTCAGGGTTCGCCGAAAGTTTCGGGGAAGTTTCGAATAAAGTTTCGAAAAGACGCTTCGAGGAGTTGTTTGTTTTCCGTTAAATGTTTTATACTTTCAAGCTACAGGGGTTTAGGGTAGGGGTTAAGGGTCAAGGGTTTAGGCTGTACGGTTTAAGATGTTTTTGTTTTGTGTGTGGTGGTTGGGGGATCCTGCTAGATGGGCCGTAGCCAGGTACGTGTAAACCCTAAACCCAAAACTTGCCCCAAGCCCTAAGCCCTAAGCCCTAAGCCCTAAGCCCTAAGCCCTAAGCCCTAAGCCCTAAGCCCTAAACCCTAAACCCTAAACCCTAAACCCTACATGTGGGCGATTTGGAAGCTTCAGGTGCTCTATTCAGAAGCCAATGTTTAATATGCTCAGTTAGGCAGTTAGGGACCACATTGAGAGAATTGCCCCAGATCCCTAAAGCCTAGACAGGAAAGAGACCAGAACTAGAGAACGACCCATATTCCCTTAAACTGCACCCCTTGAAGCCCCGAACCCCCAAACCCTAAACCACCCTAAACCGCCTAAACCCTAAAACAGTGTTTCGGCACCCTCAGCCCTAACACCTATACCCTAAACCCTAAACCCTAAACCCTAAACCCTAGACCCTAGACCCTAGACCCTAAACCCTAAACCCTAAACCCTAGAATCGGTGTGCCCCCTTTTCAAGGCAGGACCTCTTCTACGATTCCCAGCCCGAGGAGCGCCCCGGCAGCCAAGCGAAGGCTTCTGGCCCTTCGGGGCTTAGAGAGGACCTCGGGGTCTTTAGGGTTTAGGGTTTAGGGTTTAGGGTTTAGGGTTTAGGGTTTAGGGTTTAGGGTTTAGGGTTTAAGGTCTAGGGTTTAAGGTCTAGGGTTTAGGGTTTAGGGTTTAGGCTTATTTGTGGCCCTTCGGGCCTAAGAGGGGCTTCGGGTTTTCGGGATTCAGGGTTTCTTTGTCACACTGCGGTAACATTTTACCCCTCTAAGGTTACTTAAACTCAATATATATATATATATATATATAATATTTATATTTGTTGATACTGTCCCAACCATGAGCTAGTTCTGGCCCTGCGGGGCTTCGAGAGGACTTCGGGGTCTTCAGGGTTGAGGGTTTAGGGGTTTAGGGGTTTGGGGGTTTGGGGGTTTGGGGGTTTAGGGGTTTGGGGGTTTAGGGGTTTAAGGGCTTAGGGGTTTATGGGTTTAGGGGTTTAGGGTTTAGGGTCAAAGTCTAAGGGTTTAAGGGTGTCGGGTTTAAGTTCATAAGGCTTAGGGATTACGGGTTTAGTCTAGAGTTTAGGGCTCAGGTATATGTAACTTTACCCGCACGAGATTCTTATTGGACACTTCCCACAGTTGTGGAACAAAGGCCGCGCCCCCCTCAAAAACCCTAAGCCCCCCTAAACCCCCTAAACCCCCTAAACCCCCTAAACGCCCGAAACCCCCTAAACCCCCTAAACCCCCTAAACCCCCTAAAACCCCCTAAACCCCCTAAACCCCCTAAACCCCCTAAAAACCCCCTGAACTGGACCCCCTAAACCCCCTAAACCCCCTAAACCCCCTAAACCCCCTAAACCCCCCTAAACCCCCTAAACCCCCTAAACCCCCCCTAAACCCCTAAACCCCTAACCCCCCAACCCCCTAAAACCCCCTAAACCCCTCTAAACCCCCCTAACCCCCGAAACGCCCCAAACCCCTAACCCCCAACCCCCTAAACCCCCTAAACCCCCCACCCCCTAAACCCCCTAAACCCCCTACACCCCCTAACCCCCCTAACCCCCTAAACTAAACCCCCTAAACCCCCTAAACCCCCTAAACCCCCTAAACCCCCTAAACCCCCTAAACCCCCTAAACCCCTAAACCCCTAAACCCCCTAAACCCCCCTAAACCCCTAACCCCCTAAACCCCCTAAACCCCCTAAACCCCCTAAACCCCTAAACCCCCTAACCCCCTAAACCCCCTAAACCCCCTAAAACCCCTAAACCCCCTAAACCCCCTAAACCCCCTAACCCCCTAAACCCCCTAAAAAAACCCCCTAAACCCCCTAACCCCCTAAACCCCCTAAACCCCCTAAACCCCCTAACCCCCCTAAAACCCCTAAAACCCTGAACCCTCCATCCCTGAACGCCTCCTTCTAAGGTTGCCATGGATCCGCACAGAGTGTGTCATTGACACAGCACCTTGGCTTTCTTCTGGCTGGCTCGTAGGGCTTTAGCCTTTTGGGTTCTTTGTAGTAGAAACTACAAACAGGAAGCCTACCATAAACTACAAACAGGGAGCCTAGACCCTAGACCCTAGACCCTAAACCCTAAAACCCAAACCCTAAACCCTCACGACAAAATAAATAGAAATTGTATGTGGTGTCATTCTGAATTTTCCAGGATATGTGTCTCAACAGCTGACAAACGGAGTTTAAGTAAATTAATCCAAAGCGGGAGGCCGGGAGGCCAAATGTTCAATTTACTAAACCTCTGGAGCCTTCCGCCAAAGCCCAAAATTGGCTTCCAAAGCCCAAAAATTGTGCTTTCCCAAAGCCAAGAATTTGCTCCCAAAGCCCAAATCGCTTCCCAAAGCCCAAAATTGGCTTCCAGACCCCAAATTGGCCCCCAAAGCCCAAAATTTGCTCTGCAAGCCGAATTTATTTGGTTGCGGAGCCCAAAATTGGCTCCCAGCACCCAAAATTGGCTCCAAAGCCCAAAATCGGCCCCCCAAGCCCAAAATTGGCTTCCAAAGCCCCCAAAGCCCAAAATGTGCTCCCGAAGCCCAAAATTGGCTTCCGGAGCCCAAAATTGGCTCCCAGAGCCCAAAACTGGCTCCAAAGCCCAAAATTGGCCCGCAAAGCCCAAAAGCCCAAAATTGACTCCCCGAAAGCCCAAAATTGCTCCCCAAACCCAAAATTGGCTTCCGGAGCCCAAAATTGGCTCTAGAGTTTCTGGTGTGAAACTTGCCTCCCTCCACCCGCCCCCTTGTCCCCCCCGCCGCACCACCCTCCACCCCCCCCCCCTGTCCACCCCCCCCCCCACGCCGACCCCTAAAACCAATGTCTGAGAAAACTTTCGCTCAAAACGTTTCGCTCAAAACGTTCGCTCAAATCTTTTTGGGACCCAAGCCCTAGACAATTTCTATAAACCCTAAACCCTAAACCCTAAACCCTAAACCCTAAACCCTAAACCCTAAACCCTAAAACCTAAACCCTAAACCCTAAACCCT